AGTAGGGATTTTTAGTAAGGAATACACATGATCTCATCTGTAGTTTTATTGATTTTTTTTTTTAGATTTATTTATTTTATACAAGAACCGGGGTACAGACCAGATGCGTGGGAGGGTGAGAGGATTCACCAGAGACAGAGTGGGGAACAGAACAGGCAGACTGACGAAATACACTGCTGAGGGGAGCAGCGGGCATGACAGGAGAGGTCTCCCGTGGCAAGTGGGACCCTCACCGGCCAGCCAGATTTAACCAGCGCTGCAGAGGCTTCGGACAGCTTCACTGCGGGGCGCTCAACCACCTGCACCACCAGGGGAGGCCCTCATCTGTGGTTTTAAATATTTGGTTAATTGGTGAAGAAAAGACTGATGGGGACAGGGAATGGGGAGGAAGAACCAAAGTGAAATGAAATGATGATCATTCAGGAATCTTTTGAAGTAGTAGTAGTGGTTGAGGTAATAAGATTTGTTTGGACTCAGGATTTATTTTGAAGGTATATGCTACAGAATTTGCTAATTGTTTTGGATGTAGGTATGAAGAAAAGAGAAGATTCAATATTTGATTGACAAGTTTTTGCCTGAGCATCTGGATGAATGGTGGTGCATAGTATTGATACAGATACAACTTATGGAGCAGTAGCAGGTTTTAGAGAGAAATTCAGGAGCTCTATTTTGGAAATGTTAAGTTTGAGATGACTTATTATTATTATTTTTTTTTATAGAGGCATGTTTTCTTTCTTTCTTTCTTTATTTGTTTGTTTTTGTTTATACATGCACTGGGTACAGTCAGAAGCGCGGGAGGGTGAGAGAATTCACCAGAGCCAGAGCGGGGAGCAGAGCAGGCAGAAGGACCGAAGCACACTGCTGAGGGGAGCAGCGGGCGGCAGGAGAGGTCTGCGCGCCATGTGGGACCCTCCTCTGGTGGCCGGGGAGCAGCCGGGGATCGAACTGGCGCCGCAGAGGCCGCGGGCAGCTTCGCAACCCAGCGCTCAACCGCTGCGCCACCGGGGAGGCCCTTATTATTTTTTTAAAGATTTATTTATTTTTATACAAGTACCGGGGTACAGGCCAGATGCACGGGAGGGTGAGAGGATTTACTGGAGACAGAGTGGGGAACAGAACAGGCAGACTGAAGAAATACACTGCTGAGGGGAGCAGTGGGTGAGACAGGAGAGGTCTGCTTTGCCATGGGAGATTCTCACCAGCCAGCTGGGCTCGAACCTGCACTGCAGATGCTGCAGATAGATTCACAGTGCGGCGCTCAACTGCCTGCGCCACCAGGGAGGCCCTGAGATGCCTTTTAAACATCCAAGTGGAGATGTGAGGCATTTGGATATATAAGTCTCAAACTTGGAGGAGAGACAGAATTAGTAATAAAAAGCTGGGTATCGTTACCATCATAGATATAAAGTTATGAAACTGAAAAAAAATTAAGGGAGTGAATGTAGGAAGATAAGAAAAGATATTTCAGCTCAGATTTGAGCCCCATAATGTACTGAATCATTTAGAGGCCAGGAAGGCAAGGAACTAACAATGGTGAATAAAATTTAGTGAACCACTACTAAGATTGGAGGAAAACCAGGAAAATGTCTAGAAAATAAAGAAGCATTTCAAGTAACGTTATGTAGATAATTAGATTGAACAGAGGAAACCATCATTAAAAAAAGGCATAATATATAACACTACTTATAGGAAAATCATCAAAATAAAAGTAATAAATTGTGTGATAGAAGAAAGGGGTTGGGGAATAGGGAATTGACTGGAGAGAGACACATGGGAACTCTCTGGAGTAATAAAGTTTTTCTGATTTATGTTTAGATGTTGTTATATGGTTGTATACAATTATCAGGGTTCATTGAACAGAACACTGAAGATATATGTATTTTATTAAGTGTGAATTATATTCCAATTTTTTAAAAAAGAATTGTAACTGTCAAATGATGTTGAGAGGTTACTTAAAATAAGGACTGCGCACTGATTATTGTTGATGGTGAGCTTGATAATAGTGGTTTCCATGGCAAGAGTGGGCTAGGAAGAAATGAGGAAATGAACATGATTGGTTTCCTAAACAGGCGAGCGAAGAAATGGGCAAGTCAGGGAAGTTCCATAAAAATTTTTATTTTTTTAAAGGTGGAAGAAATGACAGCATGTTTTTTAGATGATAAGAATGATCCAGTAGAAAATAGAAACTTTTTGCACAGGAGAGAGGGAGGAAGGGCAGTGTGGGTGAAGCCTTCATTTAATGAGGTGTCCGGGGAGCTCACTTTGATAGGAACCTGGGAAGGCAGAGAATATATATACAGTAAGTAAGCTAGTACTTAAAAAAAAAAAAACCCAGAAATTTATTGCGTGACTGCTGAAATCCTTAAGATGAACTGCATGCTGCAACAGCGGCCCTCTTGGGTTTAGGTGTTGTTCCTTTGTGGAATCCATGCCTATATTTGCGATATACAATTTTTAGGTGCCTCATTTGACCAGTCCCGGTGGTATTTCATCTTTTAGCCTTGGCACTCCAGTTACACTTGCTGCAGGTCGACTTCTGAAGGTGGTAGGCCTTAGAGCCACAGCGGCAGCACAAGGTGTGCGTCTTACTGCGACGCTTTCCGAACGATGACGTCTCTTTCGTCATTTTGCTCCTGTGGCCAGGAACAAAGAGCTAGCTAGTACATTTTTGTAACATGAATATGTAGTGCTAATTTTTGCTCCTATTTGAGTGAAAACCAGAGTCAGCAGAGAAGAGTGAGATTGGGGGAATTTTGTGTAGTGTTAGAAGTTTGGGGACCAGATGGGTATCAGGTGTCTTGGGCAGGGAGAGAGAGAGAGAACATACTGCCTAGGTGAACATAGTATGGTTCACAGGATCCACTTGATATTTAGCATTATAAATATCAAGCGATACCAGTCAGCATGATTTTAGGTTTTTCTTCAGTCACATTCAACTGTCCAACTGCCCAACTTCAGCTGAACAATACATGGAAAGCTGGGTTTAACAGTTTGGGGTTTCACCACAACTGTGGTTTGGGTGGGGAGTGGTAAGGTTTCAATTAGAGCTGGAACTGAAAGTGGATGCTCAGGAAAGGAATGGAATTGAGGAGATAGGGAGTTTTCTGGGTGTTTTTTTTTTGTTTGTTTTTTTGTTTTTTTGTTTTTTGAGGATCAAGTTGTAGAGGAGACAAATTCAAGAATGGGAGACATGGATATTTGTTGGTGATTGAGAAATTGAAGGGTGTGTGAGATATGATTAGTCTGGTGATTTATTAGGAAAGGTGGAGTTTTGTTTTTTTTTGTTCAAGATTATTCATGCATACAAGAACTGGGGTACAGGCCAAATGTGTGGGAGGGTAAGAGGATTCATCAGCAACAGAGCGGGGAACAGAACAGGCAGACTGACTGAAATACACTGCTGAAATACACTGCCATGTGGGTTGCTCCCTGGCTGGCTGGGATTGAATCGCGTTGCATCAGCTGTGGACAGCTTCACAGGGCTGCACTCAACCGCCTGCGCCACCAGGGAGGCCCAAGGTGGAATATTTCTGATCATAATGTTGTTCTTGAGTTTAACCTCAATTCTTCCAGTGGTTTCTCATCACATTCATAATAGTTCTTTGCAGCACTATACCAACCCTACAGTCTGGCTGTGACCTAACCCTGTAGCTTCTATAACCTACTTCTTTGCATACCATTTCCCCTCCTACCACCTTCTCTAATTCTTTGCTATTTCTTGAATATTTTGTCTCTGTCTATGTTTCTGTTTCTCTTCTTCAAAGCACTGTTTACTCTAGTTTGAGAATAGAGACTATCTCCTGTTTCCTAGCATGTATCCCTAACACCTAGAACAGTATCTGGAGCATAATAGGTGCTCAGTGAATGTTGGTTTGGATTAACATAAATCACAAGCTTCCCTAATGCCTTTTAAAAAAGGACTGACTTTTTTGTTTTGGTGCCTTTTTAAAAACATTGAAGTAAACTTATAAGATAGACTGATATTCAAATAAATTGACATAGACTTGAGTAGAAGTTGTCGAATAAAATGACTTCTCATCATGATTTAGTTTTCTACAAGAAAAAGTCCCATAGAATGGAAAGTTTACATCTTAGAAGTAATGCAGGCCTGTTCTTAAATTTATGGTGAAATGAGAATAGTACGTTTATTAGATATTTAAAAATAAATTTCATGTTTTGGCAAAAACAAGTTTTATGAGGTGAGAATATTTTTGGTTTGCATTTTTTGCTTTCTAAATCAAATTTGTGATGGTTGTCTTCATTAGGTACCCTAACTGAATTGGTCAGTTCAATTTAAAAAGGTATACTGGGGGGGCCTCCCCGGTGGCACAGCAGATTGTGCGCAGTGCTGTGAAGCTGTCCACAGCCTCTGCAGCGCTTGTTCGATTCCCAGTGGGCCGGGGAGATTCCCACATGTTGCAGCAGACCTCTCCTGACTCACCCGCTGCTCCCCTCAGCAATGTATTTCGGTCCTTCTGCCTGTTCTGCTCCCATCTCTGTCTCTGGTGAATTCTCTCACCCTCCTGTGCCTCTGACCTGTACCCCAGCCCTTGTATAAATAAATAAGTCTTTTAAAAAAAAAAACCTGAAAAAAAAAAGAAAAGAGGTATACTGGGGCCTCCCTGGTGGCGCAAGGGGGTAAGCACTATGAAGCTATTGCTATCCACAGGCTCTGCAGAAACAGTTCAATCCCAGACGGCCAGGGAGCTACCCACATGGTGTAGCAGACCTCTCCTGTCTCGCCCGCTGCTCCCTTCAGCAGTGTATTTCAGTCAGTCTACCTATTCTGTTCCCCACTCTGTCTCTGGTGACTCCTCTTACCCCACACACCTTTGGCCTGTACCCCAGTTCTTGTATGCATAAATAAATAAATCTTAAAAAAAAAAAGTATACTTCTCAGCCTGTGGAATGGTGTCACTGTTTTGTTCATAAGTAGCTATTCAGGTTCTCTGGACCCATGGTGTGCTCCTGTTATAACTGACATTATGTTTTCATTACAGTTGTCGGACAAGTAACCGCAAGAGCTTGATTGTGACCTCTAGCACATCACCTACACTGCCACGGCCTCACTCACCACTCCATGGTCATGCAGGTGAGTGCTTGAAAGTTAAGAAAGGTAGAATGAAAAAAATAGCCACAGATGCCTGTTTTCTCTCCCACCTCTCACTTTGTGTAGTTCAATACATTATTTTGTTACTTTACTATACTTAGCATATAGAGTTCAAGAACATGGTTTCCCATAGAAAGCATGCACCAGTTATTTTGGGCCATGTGATAAGGTTTTCATTAATACTTTGTCCTACCATGTCCAAGGATCAGGGCTTACAGCGGTAGATTTCTGTCTCACTGGGACTTCTGCTAATTTTCCCTCTATTTGAACAGGAGTTGACAAAAATGAGAGGAATATTTGCTTCACATTGATAATGATTTCATATATTGGAACTGAAGCAAATTATCTCATGTATTCAGACTTAGCTCCATCTGGAATATGGATTCCTTCAACAATATAAGGACTGACTTACTTGACTCTGAGCGAGGAATATATAAAAATTATGACACAGAAGACCTCACTCGAGTTAGCCTCTTATTTTGGCTTAGATGCTTTTTGCATCACGGGACAACCATAGGAGGAAATTCAGGTTTGCTGAAACAGGGTTGCTGCGCTGCTATACTGTTCATTGCAACACCATTTATATGGAAGTTTCAAACCCAAGGTAGTGGAAATGGAGCAGGCTTGAAACCAATAGAAGCCAGAAGCTTTTTAGAGCTTGATGTCTGGGTTTGGTTAGCCATGGACCTTGGCCGTTGTTGAGTGATAAAAGAGTACCAAAATAGCATAACATTTTGGCATCAAGCCAAATTAGATTGTTCCATTCACCTGGGTTTTGTCTCCTGGTTCAAAGCTTACCGTCTTTGGAGGGAGAACGTGAGGGTGCATGTGTAGTAGTTGTCTGAGGGCCCTGAGAGTCTGGTGATTCTGAAATTGACCTTTGTCCTTGAGAAAGGGTCTTACTTGACTTGGCTCAGACCGTCAGATCCTTGGCTCAGATCCATACGTACATGGCGCTTTTCCAAGCAGCAAGAAAACAGCAATAATGTTCACATTAGAGGACACCATGAAGGGCACAGGGTGACAAGGGAATTGAAGACATATCTGACTTTTAAAGCAAAATTCTCACTTTGATATTTTGATAAAGTATAACATGTATTCGCCATTACTTAATACTTAGTAATACTAATGTTAAATACTTAGACCTAGTACAGTACTAAGTATATTTGTATACATACACACCTACAAAGGTATCTGCATTTGTAGTCTCATGCAAAATAGATTCATTGCTCTAAAAATACTCTATTCTACCTCTAATACTCTCTATTCCACCTGTTCATCGCTCTCTCCCCACAACCCCTGCAACCACTTATCTTTTCACTCTCTGTAGTTTTACCTTTTCCAGAATGTCATATCGTTGGAATCATGCAATATGTAGTCTTTTCAGAAAGGCTTCTTAAACTTAGTAGTATGCAGGACTTTTCATGGCTTGATAACTCATTTCTTTTTAGTTCAGTTTTAGACAGCTGAATAATATTCCATTGTCTAGATGTATCAGTTTGTTTATCCACTCATGGGCTAAAGGCTCTTGGTTATGGCAATTATGAATAAAGATACATAAACCTTCATGTGTGGATTTTTGTGTGGACATAAGTTTTCAGCTCATTTGTGTAAATACCAAGGAGCATGATTGCTGGACCATATGGTAAGAGATATTTAATTTTATAAGAAACTGCTAGTCTTCTTAAGCATTTTGCATTCCCTCCAGCAATGTATTAGTTCCTGCTGTTCTTCTTTCTCAGTAGCTTTTGGTATTGTCAGTGTTTTGGAATTTGGCCATTGTATTAGGTGTATAGTAGTATCTCAGTGTTTCAATTTGCCTATCCCTAATAACATGATGTTGAACATATTTTCATATGCTTATTTGCCATCCATATTACTTTCTTTGACTAGGTGATTATTTAGGTCTTTTAAAACAACCTTTTAGTCATATTGTTTGTTTCTTATTGTTGAATTTCACATGTTCTTTTATATTTCGGATAACATCCCTTTATCAGATATCGCTTATAAATATTTTCTCCTAGTCAGTAATTTGTTTTCTCATTCTCTTGACATTGTCTTTTACATAGCAAAAGTTATTAGTTGATCAAGCCCTTGAGGTCCTATCTAAAAAGTCATTGCTTTACCTAAGTTCATCAAAAATTCTCCTCTGTTAAAAAAAAGAATTCTCCTATGTTATCTTGTAGAAGTTTTATATATGTATTTAGGTTTATGACCCATATCTAGTTAATTTTTGTGAAGGGTGTAAGGTCCATCTAGAGTTCATTTTTTGGGTGTATGGTTGTTAAATTATTCTAATACTACTTGTTGGACATTGTCTTTTTTTGTTGTATTGTCTACTAACTTGTCAAAGATCAGATGACTGTATTTATGTGGGTCTATTTCAGGCTCTGTTCTGTTCCATTAACCTATTTGTCTATTCTTTCTCTGATACCACACTGTCTAGATTGCAGTAGCTTTATATAGTAAGTCTTAAAGTTGGATTGTTCTCCTTCAATGTTGAGTTGGATTTTCTGGGTCTTTTTTCTCTCCATATAAACTTTAGAATCAGTTTAATATCTACAAAACAATTTGCTAGGATTTTGAATGGGATTAAAATTGAAGAACTGTCATCTTGACAATATTGAGTGTTATATTCATGAACATTGACTATGTCTCCATTGTTCTAGTTCCTCTTTGATATCTTTCCTCACAGTTTTATAGTTTTTCTCACTGATCTTACACATATTTTGTTAGATTTATACCTAAGCTTTTCATAATGTAAATGGCAGTGTTTTTAATTTCAAATTCCACCTGATCATTGCTGATATATAGTAAAGCACTGAACTTTGTACATAAACCTTATATCCTGCAACTCTGCTATTGTTGCTTATTCCAAGAGTTTTCTGTTATTGATTCTTTTAGATTTTCTACATTCATCATATCATCTGTAAACAAAGACAGTTTTATTTCTTCTCAATTTGTATACCTTTTATTCCCTGTCTTAGATGTTTTATTTTATTGCATTAACTAGGACTTTCCAGTATGATATTGAAAAAGCAGTGGTAAGAAGGGTAGGCCTTACCATTTTCCTAATCTTAGTGGGGAAAACTGTGTTTTTCATCAACTATGATGTTAACTTTAGGTTTTTTATGGGTGTTCTTTATCAAGTTGAGAAATTGCCCCAAATATGCTGAGAGTTTTATTATTAATGGACTTTAGATTTTGTCAGATGTGTTTTTGCACCTATTGATAAGATCATTTGAACATGCTTTTTTAAAACTTGTTGACATGATGGGATTATGGTACTTGCTATTCAGGTGTTGAATCAGCCTTGCATACCGGGGATAAATCTTGGTTATGGTGTATAATTCCTTTTACATGTTGTTGAATTTTATTTGCTTATATTTTGTCCAGGATTTTTACATTTAGGTTCATTAAAGACTTTGGTATATAGTATTCTTTTAGTGTCTTTGCCTGGTTTTGGTATTAGAATGATGATGGCCTCATAGGATGACACCCTTTGTCTTTCTCCTGAAAGAGATTGTGGAGTATGGGTATAATTTCTTCCTTAAATGTTTGGTTTAATTTGCCAGTGAGCCCATCTGGGCTCTGTTACTAAGGCAATCCTGAGAAAACAAGAGGGAAATGAAGGCATCACATTACCTGACTTTTATTTTTATTTTTATTTTTTATTTTTTTTAATTTTTTTTAGATTTATTTATTTTATACAAGAACCCCGGGGTACAGGCCAGATGCGCGGGAGGGTGAGAGGGTGCACCAGAGACAGAGCGGGGAACAGAACAGGCAGACTGATGAAATACACTGCTGAGGGGAGCAGCGGGCGAGACTGCTGCGCCATGTGGGACCCTCGTCAGCCAGCCGGGATCGAACCGGCGCTGCAGAGGCTGTAGACAGCTTCACAGCGCTGCGCTCAATGGCCTGCGCCACCAGGGGAGGCCCCTAAACTATACTTTTAAACAACAGTAATTAAAACAATATGGTATTGTGATTAAAATAGACATGTGAATCAGTGAAACAGAATTGAAAGCCCAGAAATATGTTTACATATATATATATATAAACACTAAATATATATATATATATATATATATATATATATATATATACAAATGCTTAATTCATGAACATAGAAGGAGCATTTTTTAAACAAATGATACCAGAATAACTCAATGGTCATATGTAAAAAAACAAAGTTGGATCACTCTAACTCCATGTACAAAAATACATTCCAAGTGGATTAAAGAATTAGATACACTAAACCTGCTACAGTGAAACATAGAAGAAAACATTGCTGATAAGTTTCATAACATCAATGGTAAAGATATTTTTGGACATCTGGGGCAAGGGAAAGCAAAAATAAACAAATGGGATTACCTCAACTTAAATAGCTTTTATACAGGAAAAGAAAATATATGTAGATCAAAAAAGACATCTTACTGAATGGGAGAAAATGTTCACACGTTATACAATCAACAAGTGCTGAATACCCAAGATATACATAAAACTTACTCAACAATAAAATCCAATTAATAAAAAGGGAAGCAAATATGAACAGACAGTTCATGAAAGAGTATAACCAAAGGCCCAATAGATGCATTGGGAAATGTTTGTCATTTTAATAAGGAAGATGCAAGTCAAATAACCACAATGAGAATGACTCTCATGGAAGATACTCCTAACAGCAAGTGCTGCAGAGGGTGTGGAGAAAGAAGAACTCTTTTTATCAAGTTCATGCATGAATTAGGCCAAATTTTGCAGAGTCTTTATGGGCAGAGTCTTTACAAAACTTTCATCACTTTAGACACCAGCTGCCAGTGTGGGGATTCCCATGTCACCCATAATTCTCACCAACTGCATGTAAATTCAGAGGTTCTGCCTATCTCCTCAGGTTTAGTAATTTGCTAGAATGACTCATAGAACTCAGGAAAGCACTATACTTACAAGTACAGTTTTATTATAGCAAAATGGATACAAGTCAAAACTAGCTTCCCAAAAAAGAGCCTCATAGAGTGATGTCTGGAAGGGTCCTATGTGTGAAGCCGCCAGTATCTTCTTCTCCACACTAAATTTAGATGGATTACCTTCCTGGCACGTTGATGTGTAACAGAAAGCAGAATATCACTAACCAAGAAAGTTAGTAATTTTGGTTTTCAGAGTGTTTATTGGGATTATCTGAGCATGATTGGTTGACTCATTGGCTACGTGATTCCTTGTAGGTCCAGCTGATATCAGCTGGCTTAAAGCCCCACCCTCTAATAACTTGGTTGGTCTTTCTGGTGTAGTCAGTCCCTATCTTGCATCATCACATTCTCATAAACTGTCAGGCCCCACTATGAATAACAAGCAAACTCCTGTCACTTGGGAAATTCCAAGGATTTAGGAGTTTATTCCTGAGAACCAAAGATAGCTGCCGCCAAATTTTTGTATGCAGCAACTCGGTGTAGAATTCTAGATTGGCAGGGTTTGTTTTTCTTTCTATAATTTAAAGATATAGCTCCAATGAAAAATTTGATGTGTAGTCTGTGTATCCTTGGTGTTACTGTGAGCACCTGGAAGATTCTTTGTGTTTATTCTATAACTCACACCTTTTCTTTGGAAGGCCAGTTATTGTTTGTAGGAATCCCCATGTCTAGGGATTTCTTTGAGACTTTTGCTGGGTTATTTTGGGAACCAACAAAGGACATCTAGTTTTACATGTTAAGGATCAAACTAACTGAAGGTACTTATTAATCTTTGATGTGGCACTATCTAAAAAGAATGGAGTTTTTTTTTTAAGACCTTGATAATTTTGAGGAGGCCTTATCCTTTTAAGCCCTGGCTAAGGAAACTACTCCAGACCACTTTTCTCTTATCTTGGTGGACTATGTTAGTCAGAAGATGGGAAGAGATCATAGGAGGTAGCCCTAGCCACAGAGCATGGAAAACACAGCATCAGTTCTAGGTTGTGAGCAGCTCTACTGTATAAAGTGGTGCATTTCATGTAGTCAAGGAGATGAGTAGAAGCTGAAAATACCACTTCCACAATAGTTCACCCAAAGACAGTGCCTTTATATAATTGATACAAAGATGCTAAGTAGGATGGTGGGTGGTGCATTGTTTCAGGGATCAATACAGAAAGACATTAAGTCCTATTCTTGTTGTTTAGAGATAAGGGAAACAATTGGGCAGTTTCATGGCACATGGAAATGAATTTCCAAGAAAATGCCAGGGCATTCTTTGCAGATTTAGGGGTCTTGCTGTTTAGGAACATTGCTGTCCTAAGTCTCCACATGAGAATTGTTTCCCTTAAGTGCATGTGTTTCTGGATGCAGTGTGCAGAGAAAGATGTGCAAGAGACTTTTAGAACCAGGAGTACTTTTGCCCATTGAGAAATGTTTGCACATTTGGCTGTGCCATCTGCATAAAATGAGTTCCTCAAGATTTTGGAAAGTTGGGTAGTCAAATTGGAGCCTGGGGTATTTATAGGAGGGCAGGAAAATGGCAAATTGCTCCTTAATTTAGAATAGATGTCTGAGAAAAATAGGTTGTTACAGGAAACTTGGGAATAGGGGAGAAAACCTCCCAAAAATTCACAAAGAGAGAAACAAACCGATGATAGCCCTGAAAAAATAATCATATGTGCTAATTGCTGTTGTTAGTTGAAAATTTCTTCCCTGAGGTCATCTCAGATCTCCTCATAAATAAATCTCTTAAAAGGTTTCTTTTCCTATCTACAGGTAACAGTCCTTTGGACAGCCCACGAAATTTCTCTCCAAATGCACCTGCTCACTTTTCCTTTGTTCCTGCCCGTAGGTAAGCTGATAGAAAAACTTCTCTGTGGCTAATATGAATGGCAGTTAAATGTCAGCTTGCATGAATGGCAGTTAAATGTCAGCTTCTTGTTTAAGTCACTGCCCTTCCAAGTGTGTGACCTTGGGCTACTCTCCATCAAAATCCCTTCCCTGATTTCCTTATCCAGGTCATAATCATCTTGTTCTGCTTTCTAGATATCCTAGGTATTTGTGCACTTTCAAATGGGCAAGTAGATATTACAAGTGGATTTATTTTTATAATCCTAAGCACTAGTCCTTGGTATGTTCCAAAGCATATTCTCAACTGAAAACTATCCTAGGGTGATCAGTGAGAAAATGAGCTCTCCTCCCTGGAGAACCCATATTCTAACTCCTCTAAATCAGCTAATTCCAAGTAGCTAAAACAGACCTTATAGGCCTCGCTCCTTGACTCTGAGCTGAGGCCCCTGAGGGCAGATAAAGAGACCATGAGTTTTCATTTATTTTCTCTTGAATTTAGAAAGAAGTGTATTTCAGAACCATGCTTATATTCCTTGCCCTGTTTTTTTTTTTTTTTAAGATTTTTTTTATTTATGATTACAAGAACTGGGGAACAGGCCAGAGGTGTGGGAGGTGAGAGAATCCACCAGAGACAGAGCGGGGAACGGAACAGACAGATAGACCGAAGTACACTGCTGAGGGGAGCAGCGGGCGAGTCAGGAGAGGTCTGCTGTGCCATGAGAGCTCCCTGGCTGGGGATCGAACTCATGTTGCAGAGACTGCGGACAGCTTCACAGCGCTGCACTCAACCCCTTGCGCCACCAGGAAAGCCCCTCCTTCTCCTATTTCAACTCTTTGGAAAGGATACAAATTTATCTCTTAAAAATTCTGACAGCTCAGCCCATTGCCAAGATATTACCTGTCCTCTGAAGAAGTGTTGAACTGATTGCGTTAAGTTAATCCAAACTACTTATGTAGGCTCCATGCACAAATGAATTACTTTTTAGAACGCTTAAAAAAAACTTTCTTGATAGTGGTAATGTTCTTTGATTTTATGTTTATTTTTATTTATAGTATTTTTTCTTGGTGAGAGTCAATCTCAGGCCTCCAGAAAAGTTATGGCTCCAGGTTTTGGAACTTGTAATGGCTGGAGAATCACATATACAGCTTGAGGCCAGAGCAGTATCTATACTTATACTACTTTTTAAAAAGAGATAATAGTAAAAGAGCAGATTCCTGGAAAAGAGCGTTAAGTCGATAATCAAACGAGAACCCAAAAGTAATCCACCCTCTTCCTCTCAAAGATTCTTTGTAGCTGAAAAGGACATGGGCAGGTTAGGAGAAATTTGATGGTAGACTTGGGTGCTCCCCTGACCCAATTGCCGTATGTAAACCAAATACCATCTGAGTTTGTCCTGTGGATTCCTCTCACCTATGTTATGTAACTAATTGAAGGTTACATTACAAAATACTACTTTCTTGAAACTTAAAGAATTAGTAGAGTTTGTATATTTTTCGGTTCCCTTCATGAGGAATATTCTTCGCTAATATCAGTTAACTCATTTTTTTCTTTTTTTTTAAAAAGATTTATTTATACAAGAATTGGGGTACAGGACAGAGGTGTGGGAAGGTGAGAGAATTCACCAGAGAAAGGGTGGGGAGCAGAACAGGCAGATGACTGAAAACACTCTCGAGGGGAGCAGCGGGCAAGACAGAAGAGGTCTGCTGTGCCATGTGGGTATCTCCCTGGCTGGCCGAGAATCAAACCCTCACTGCAGAGGCTGTGGACAGCTTCACAGTGCTGCAGTCAACCCGCTGTGCCATCAGAGAGGCCCAGATAACTCATTTTTTCATCTCATCTTATATGTCAACTCCTAGGAGAGGCCTTCCCTAAACATACAATCTGTTCATCATTCTCTATCAAATCATCCAGTTTTGTGCTTTTTATTTATTTTTTTAAAGATTTATTTTTATCTATATATTTGTTTGTTTGTTTATACATGCACTGGGCACAGTCAGAAGCGCGTGAGGGCGAGAGAATTCACCAGAGCCAGAGCAGGGAGCAGAGCAGGCAGAAGGACCGAAGTACACCGCTGAGGGGAGCAGCGGGTGGCAGGAGAGGTCTATGCGCCATGCAGGACCCTCCTCCAGTGGCCGGGGAGCAGCCGGGGATCGAACCGGCGCTGCAGAGGCTGCAGGTAGCCTCGCAACCCAGCGCTTAACCGCTGCGCCACCGGGGAGGCCCAGTTTTGTGCTTTTTAATACCTGCTATTTTCTTCCTTGCTTGTTTCTGTCTTCTCCATCTGGAGTCAAAGCACATTTAACAGATATTTCAGTGTGCTGGAAACTGTGTCTTCTGGTCTATTATAAGTACTCTATTAGTACTTGTTGATTGAATGAGGGTGGAGAAAAATAATAAATAAGCAAACAGACATATTTATAAATGGTGATTAAGCACCACAAAGGGAAAGAACATGATGCTGCATGAAGGAATAGGAAGACACTGCAGCTGGTGAAAATACTCTGGTGCTCATGTAACGTGTCTCTGAAGAACTGACTTTTAAGCTAAGACCTGAAGAATAAGAAGGAGCCAGCCATGTTGGGAGTGTGGACATAAGTGTGTAGACCATGCCAGGCAGAGGGAATATAGCATGTTACATTGGTGCCCTTGTCTCTGCTTCATCCCCTTCTTTTAGGGACTATGACCAGCTATGGGGCTTTTAGAATCTGGTTATTACCACTGACCTCCAAATAGATCGGTGCTGGGAACATCGAACCATGGGCTGTCACTTTACAGGACAGTAGAAAAGAGAACTTCAACCCTGCCAAATAGGGTACTCAGGAATTGTGTTTCTGAGGTTATTGAGGTCAGCCTTGAATCTTATTATGATCATATTAGTTTGGAATAGCACACAAAAAAGAGATTTAATGCAACGCTAAAGATCCATTAAGCCCACAATTTTACTTAAAACTTCCACACATTCTTAAAAAGGTTTTCCTTGGCCAAGTTGGACCAAATGCCAGGGGACAAACAGATCAGGAATCAGAGTTATTCTTCTGATTCCCTTTGTTTCTCACTGTAATGTACATCTTTTCACTACAGCCATGGCCACAGAGCAGACAGGTAAACGTGGATGTAATAGGAAGAGGGCTGGGAAACTTCTGTGCATGGCCAGGTGATATGTTTTGTGATTTTTGTGCTTGGTGAAAAGTGATTGTGATGAGTCTTCTGACTGTGGGTATAAACATTTGGCCTTTCATGTCTAGGAAAGAGGCCCTGAGGGAGCCCCCTCTACCTGCTGGAACCAAGGCTCAGAGCTCATATGACTGGAAGCAGGAATTGCTGAATAGTTCCAAGCTCCTTAGCCTAGAGACAAGTCACCCTCATTCCCACAACTGTATTCAATTGCCCAGTGAGATGATGAGGTAGAGGAAATTAAGACATTCTATTGCGGCACTGTTTTCTGACTCTGGTGGCCCCTGTATTTTGGCTTTCAGAGAAATAACTGCCATATAATCGATTTCCATTTTTATCTAAAAGAGCAAAAACCACCAGTGGAAAAATGTGTTTGACAAGGATTTGTGAAATCTATCCCTCAGTTAGACTGGTCTCATTTTGTTGAGTTCTGGTTTCCTGGAACTAACTTGCTTTCAGATGTGGTGTCCTGACCTAGCGAAAAGAGAAAATCACATCCAGGTATCCTCGATGTTTCTTTGCTTCAGAGACTAGATTCCAGCAGGGATATTTACATGTATTGGATGGCTAGGTGGCATGAAGTTTGAGTTCTTTGCATGTGGCATGGAACCCTGGGCAGCCCCCTTACCAAATATAGTAAGGACAGCTGGAAGGTATGGGTTGGGGGTGGATAGGAATGCTTCAAAAGAAGTCTTAGCAAGATTAGTTCTTCTTTTTTCTTGTATCTCTTCCTGCCTTTCCCCAATACCTTAAATTCTGAAACCTGGAACAAATAATCCAGATATCTGAGATTTCTCTGAAAATTGAGAGTATTGAACTTACCTTCTAAAGGATACCCCATTGCTGATGTTCTAAAGTTCTGTGAGTAACAGCAAAGAAATTTTCCTCCAACTTCAACCAGAGTAGGCTATACCCCCAAGCCCAATGATTTAGAGCATTTCCCACAGTCCAAGAAAGAATCACTTGTCCACTTATAAAAGCTTCAGATCAGATATCTGCTTGATATTTTCTCCTCTACAGCAAAGTAAATAACTGTAGTTCTCTATGATGAGAACTTTAGCGTGAACCCTCTCAAAAACAGCAGGATGCCTGTCCCCAAATCCCATATATAGCCATGGCTAAGCCACTTCACTCTTTCATAAGATTACTGTCACTCAGGCAAACATCCTCAGAGGTCTTAATGGATCCTAGGTATCCTTTAATTATTTGCCATTGATTGATTCATACCCACCCTCAGATGGTGGTCTACTATTTGGTTGTCAACCTGGCGGCCTGGGGAAGACCAAAGAACCCTTCACCTGGAGCCTTCAAAAAAGGAAATAACTTCATTTCACAGGCAGTTTTCTCCTTGTGATAATGCCCTTCAAATATGTGTCATTGCTTGTTTGAATAAATGTGTTTGGGAACACAAAGATTTTTATTACAAAACTCTGCAATATTGTATAACAGAAGTTCTTATTCAAACTTGTGGACTCCTTTATAGTCAGAGACAGCTGTCTTTCAGTAGAGAAAACACAAAAGGTCCAGTTTAGGAGAGATGTGAAAGCACGTACTGGAACAAGCAGTGATGACTTGAGTCAAGGAAGAGCCTGCCAGTAAACCAACTGCTCCACACAAAGGAAAAAGGAATTAGATGCTAGGCTCAAGGTGGGGAACAGTAGAAATTGCCTAATACTCTTCTCTTATATAGGACTGATGGACGGCGCTGGTCTTTGGCCTCTTTGCCTTCTTCGGGCTATGGAACCAACACTCCTAGCTCTACTGTTTCAGTAAGTAGCCACATCTGTGACTCCCTCCATCACCCTACAGAAGTAGTTCGCTATGAGTTCTTGGCCCTTACCATGTTACAAAGTGGCTCTCTATTTTTCCTCCAGAACTAGTAAACTCGGGTTGCTTGAGGATGAGTCTGAATGGGGCAGAGGGCTGTGGGCCCTTAACAGCCATAGTCTCTAACATTAAACAATTGGAAAGAATAAAGTGACATGCATTCTGGGTGTCCATTAGTCTTCGGGGAGTCAGAAGAGGGTTTGGGGATGAACTTTTGCTTTGCCAATGAGGCTAGGTATGGATGTTCCTAACCACAGTCCCCCTACTCCCCTCACCTTGTTTCTAGAACTATAACCAAGAGCAGATAATGCTCCCATGTCCCAGAGACTTAGTAGATCTTCCTCACTTCACCTTTTTAAGAAAGAAGGGTAAAATGATTGTAATTTGACATCCAAATTTGATGTATATCAGCAAAGGAGATGGACCTATCTTTAAAATATTTAATTAGATTTCTTTTAGAAAAGGTTTTAGCCTAAAATACAATAGATGTCTTAATTGCTACTTCGTACATTTGACCCTAAAATGAATCTTCCTGTCAAGCGATTCTTAATTGAAGCCGGGTTGACAGGTTGGCAAACTTATTCTGTAAAGCTCCCATTTGTAAGTATTTTAGGCTCTGTAGGCCATGTAAAATGAGGCCATAGATCAGATGACTCATTCCACATGTCTTCCACCATTCTCCAGATCTTCTCAGCTCAGTTTGTCTATAGTCATGAATCCCAGGTAGGTAAAAGGAGCATATTCCCTCCCTTGGCCCTAGATATTACTCTTAAATTAATCTATAGATCTCATTAGTCTTTTGGCAGCTGTTAAACTTCAAATTGTTCCCTGGTAAATACCCCATTCCCCATAATCCTTTACTGAAACAGGTACTTTTATTAAACACACATACATATACTCCTGTTCAGTAAAATTTAATAGACTAAACAAATTACTCCAGTTTATTTCATTTGGATACTTTAAAACATACCACCTTTTGGATTCTAACCAAACGTCTTGTACAATGCACAGAGTTGGGAGCTGGCCACGCTGCACAGACCAATTGACAGGGATGGCTCATGGCCTTCTAAATGTTGGGATACCCCAGCCTGGCCTGTGCTGTTGTTTGTGGTGTGAGCAGTAAGTGGCAGGCAGCAGCTTGTTAAGGCTGCTGAGCCCAGGATTTGGTATTGACTGGAGCCATGTCAGTGAACATGGATGACCTGCAGCACCAGATCATGATCACCTCGTTTGTGTTCACCACAGACTCATGAAGACTCTTGAATCTTGACTTCCTTAGGACTGAAAAACACTAAGGGGGTCGATGTGAATGCAGTCAAGCACAGTGAGGGTTGAAGGGAGCAAGGGAGAGATACCTGCTTTGTGTTGACTTTGGATTCACCTAACTGGGAAGTCCTGGCCATTTCAGTTCTCCATTCCTGGAATGCCCCAGACTGGTCTTTAAGGCTATTTTTAAAATGTTTTTCCTTCTAGTCTTCGTGCTCCTCACAGGAAAAGCTACACCAGTTGCCTTTCCAGCCTACAGCCGATGAGCTGCATTTTTTGACCGAGCATTTCAGCACAGAGAGTGTACCAGATGAGGAGGGCCGGCAGTCTCCAGCCATGCGGCCCCGCTCCCGCAGCCTCAGGTAAGGGGTACACCCTGCCCATTGTCACAATACATGTGGAACTCAGTTTATTTGCATAGGATCAGAAACTGTAAACATCCTATAAAGGGCAAGATAGTAATTAGGTTTTGTGGCAGCTCCATACTGCTATTTAGTGTGTGAACACACCCACAGACTTTATATAAGCTTTATTTATAAAATCAGGCAGTGGGACACATTTGGTCTATGGGCTATTAGTAGCCAACCCCTGGCATAGTACATTGGCGCAACTTGCATGAATCTGGTCTAACTAAGCTCAAGCCCTTTTTGCCGTCACATACAGATCAATTTACTAGCCCAAGAGGCACCTGAAGATGCTGTCTAGTTGGTGCTCTCTTTTTTCTTTGAAAGTTGTTGGCAATAGTTATATACTTTAGACTCCATTCAGTAAAAACACAGTAATACTGTCAATTCTGATGGTTACCTACCTGCAGAACCCAGAGACCAAGAGTATATGAACTCAGGCAGCTAAAAATGTTGTTGTGAAGACATTTGTGACCCACTTGGGAAAGAAGCCCATTAAAGAGGCAAAATTAAATACCCATCTGAATCTCATTTCCCTGAATCACATGTGCTCATCTAACCAAACAAACCTTAATAGCTGATTTAACTGTGAATTCCCTTAATAATTTGGCTCTTCTCTTTGACATTATGGTTAAATATGTGCCAAAATCCCAGGTTAAGATAGGGTAGAGATTAAAATGAGCATGGTTTTAATGTCTGAGCTCAATTTTCCAGGATTCCTGGAAAATAATGAATGTTCAGGGTTGGATTCCAGAGGAGCAGTGCTTCCCAGGAAGAATCCCCTTAGGTAATATTGGCACTGCAAGCATAAGGCATCAGGAGTGAGCTGAGCCAGACCTCAAAAGACTGGTACAGGTTTACCCAGTGATGAAGATGATTACTAGGAATGCAGTGTAAAGGATTAAAAATATAAATGAGAGTAGAGTGTGGATCCCCATTGTCTACCTGTATCGCAACCCCCTCAGATTAAAGGGTACCTTCTAGGCCATTTGTAGTTGCAAATTGTAATCCCTGCTGTATTACTCTTTAATATTTGGTAAAATGCACTGAATCAGCAGGCAGACCACAGCCCACTTCAGGGAGGAAGGGTAGAGAGGAATAGTTCAGCTGGGATCACATGTCAGGGGTACCAAACTGGGTAGGACCCTGTAAAGGCAGGACTGGGCACAGGGCAGGTTTTCTGATCCCATGCAGATCGGGTAAAGGAGGAGTCAGAGTCCTCAGTAGTTTTGCAGGTTTTTTATTTGGGGTTCACCAGGCATATGGCAGGCAGGGGTGCTGGCTGGGGGCTGGGAGGCTGGCAGGCCTCCCAGCCCCAGCAAGTCCTCACTCTATCTGGGCTCTCTAGCGTTCGTTCTGCTGCTTCTCGGCTTCGGCTGCGGCTGCGGCTGCTGCTGCTGCTGGTGCTGGTGCTGCTGGCGTCCCCCCCGTGACGCCGCCCTTAAAAGCACAGTCTTAGCTCAGCTGAATCCCATCTACCTATGCCCACACCCTACTCCAGGTGCCCGCCATCAGGCATGCATTCAGGACAAGGATCCATCATCTATCCTGATGGCGGAAGGGCAGAAAAACCTGATATTTTCTTTACCCTACAGTCCACCCCCTCAGGGTTTTCTGCCATACAGTCTATACATACATATACAATTTTCTAAGCAAACAAACAATGCAGCCATGGCCCACAAAAGCAAATACATCAAATATAACAAAATACAACAAAACACAAATAAGTCCAGGCAGGGCACCAACCAAGTGCAAAAGACAATTATTGGTACCAGCAGATGAGCCACCAAATCTGCTGCCGAAGGCACTGCTCATACGAGGGAGGGGAAATCACACACGGCATCTGCTATAACACACCAGGAGCCGTCAGGCTTCCTGGCCTTCTCTGGCTGTAGTCTCGGCTACAAGGCACACACAGCATCCACCCCCAGGATGCACTAGCTCTGGGATTGGCAATTTTATTCTGTTGGGGGTAATCGCCAACCCTCAGGGTTTCTGTCTGCAGTCGCTCCAACACTCGGCCTTCATGGCCACCCATGCGACTCACAGACCCCTGCTCTCAAGCCAACCCACTGCACAAGCACATGGGTTGGGGATCCAAACTTTGCATTTGGCTTGGGCTCCACCCCAAGCCACATTCCCCACCCGTCCCTCAAGGACGGGCTCCTCAGCTCCTCACCCTCACTCAAGAATGAGCAGGGCATCACCCATAGGTGATTTTACGAGACTCACAGGGCTTCAGCATACCCAGGCTGCTTAACAGCCGCTTTAGGGCTTCTCAACTTAGCATCAGTACCAGCTTTTGCCACCTTAGTTGGCTTTTCTCCTCCACCTGGCCACTGGGCATACACAGGCTGCTTTTGGCCATCTAGGCCCACTGGCCACCCCCAGATTCTCAAAAAATAAACATAACCTGCTAAGGTCCTCCGCCTTCTGGCGGGATTGTCAGTCCAAAATCATCAGTTCATCAGTCTATCAGTCCATTGGCCTCTCCCTGCTTCAGCAATGGCCTGCTGCCTCAGGGGTCATTGGCTGGTCCTTTCCGGTGTCGTTGGCTGGTCCTATCCGGTGTCGTTGGCTGGTCCTTTCCGGTGTCGTTGGCTGGTCCTTTCGGGCGTCTCCTTCACGCCAGGTCTCATCCTATAGCTCGTGGACGTATCCATCTTCTATACCGCCATGGTGCCTCCAGCGTCGTCACAGGCAAAGTCTGTTCTCCTTAGTCCCTCCAGGTCTTCGGAGGGCTCCAATACCCGTCTGCATGGATCCTGCCGACTACGCCAATTGTAAAGGCAGGACTGGGCACAGGGCAGGTTTTCTGATCCCATGCAGATCGGGTAAAGGAGGAGTCAGAGTCCTCAGTAGTTTTGCAGGTTTTTTATTTGGGGTTCACCAGGCATATGGCAGGCAGGGGTGCTGGCTGGGGGGCTGGGAGGCTGGCAGGCCTCCCAGCCCCCAGCAAGTCCTCACTCTATCTGGGCTCTCTAGCGTTCGTTCTGCTGCTTCTCGGCTTCGGCTGCGGCTGCGGCTGCTGCTGCTGCTGGTGCTGGTGCTGCTGGCGTCCCCCCGTGACGCCGCCCTTAAAAGCACAGTCTTAGCTCAGCTGAATCCCATCTACCTATGCCCACACCCTACTCCAGGTGCCCGCCATCAGGCATGCATTCAGGACAAGGATCCATCATCTATCCTGATGGCGGAAGGGCAGAAAAGCCTGATATTTTCTTTACCCTACAGACCCAAATATTCATTCACTTGTGTGGCTCAAACTTTGAAATCCTTTATAGGGATGTAACCATACATGGGCTAAGGGGAAGAATTGACCCAAGGTTATAACTTACTGCAAGCTGAATTGACCTCATTCGTCCCCTAATCAGAAGACAAGTTAACCCCATTGACTACAGCTTGTTTAGAAAAAGGTGTCTTCCTTTGGTGGTGGTTTGATTTAATTTAATTCCTAACACATGTTGGGTTGTACTCAATCCCACTGGCCAAAGTGAAGTAGACCCAGAGAGTCATGTTTTGGGGGAGGTCATCCTAGGAAAGGCACCAGTGGGCTTGAGTGTTGATATATTTTTCAGGCCTTCTAAGGCCTTGGCAGGGGTCTTCTTGAAAGCCAGACTTCTTACAGAAAGGTAGCCTAACTTCAGGTAAAATCATTTTGAGCAGAACAGGTGTGCTAGCAACTTTAGGAATAAGAAAGACTCTAGAACTCAGCACTTGTTAAGTGGGAGTGTGTGGGGTACAATAGACAATGGGAGGGCAGGGGCTCTTGGGATGGCCATTTTTTTCTCCTCTGTAGTTCCATAGCACTGAAGTAACAGTTCTTTCTTTCTTATTTAGTCCTGGACGGTCCCCAGTTTCCTTTGACAGTGAAATAATAATGATGAATCATGTATACAAAGAAAGATTCCCTAAGGTAAGGATCTATTTTAAAGGAAGCTGGTAATGCCCTGATAATGACTACCTACAGCCAGCCCCAAGACAGAAGAGGTGGAAAGATGCAGTGAAGGGATTGAATTCTGTCTCTAGAGGTAATCAAGAACAGAACGGCATCCACGAGGAAGAGGGCTCAAGCACAGGGGCTTCCAGACTATTTGAGAGGAAGGCAGATGGTGGGTTTGAGACTTGTCCTTTCAAAGCCTCTATTCAACTCCCTATGGGAGAACCATCTAGAGGGAAATAACAGAAAGATGTTCTCTCCCCCATATGGTAATGGGAAGGAAAGAATTAGAGACCATGTTTCTAACCATGTACATCAGGATCTGCAAGCCAGGGTCTGCCAGAATAGGTTGCCTTCTGAGAGTACCTTTGTCCAATGCAGATTCTTAAGTAGTACCTCATTGCTGGAAACCAGAGAGTGCAAAGACAGGGCTATGTTAGATTGGCAGGTAATATGCGAGAGGCAACGGTAAGTTGAGAGAGGTCTCAGAGTTGTTTACTTACATTTGGATATGTGTTTTTAGGAATATGATGAGAGAGAATGGTAGGTTACTATCCTGAGATAGCTGAGAAAGTTTTCATAACTGCAGTTTGGCTATGACTCTGTTTGTATGTGAAACTAGCACCTTATTTGCATTTGTTTTGAACACCACACCCCTGTACACTCTGACTAGGCCTTTTAATGATAGGTCCTATTCCTGCAGAACATAGCAGCTCTGTCTGAGAACTAGAGGACTGACTGACATAGGCATAATCAAGCATGAAGTTCTCAAGCATTTCTTCATCCTCTACCCAGACCTCCCTTAGGCTACCTGTTTATCTAGAGTATGTGGTTTGTAGCCCCCTGCTCCTCTGGGAGTATACTTTCTCTAGACTCAGGTACAATCTCCTAGACACACCTGGGTGGCTTAGGAAATGGTGTGAAGCTCTTGTCTTCCCTCTTGACATACACAGTGAGGCAAGCAGTAAGGAAGAGCATAGACTCTGGAACCATACAGTCTGGGTTCAAAACTGCTTCTGCCATTTACTAGCTATATGACCCTGGACAGATTATTTAACTTCTCTAAGCTTCATTTGCCTTATTTGTAATTTCGGATAATGAGAGGGAGTTTGTAAAGATTAATAAACATTAAGCTTTCTAACTGTGCTCAGAACATAGTAAATAGGCAGTTAGTATTGCCCATTATTTCTCTGCTTAACCTGTTCTGTGCTTTCTGGCCTTGAAGTGAACATTAGAGAATAAGAGTGAGGAGTGAGGAGAGACAGAATAAACAGCTAAGAAAGTCTTTTGCTATGCTTTGTCCTTTATAAAGAAATTTATTATTCTGTACATGTTTCCTCCTCTTCCTTATATATTTGTCATCTTATTGTCACTCTAGCATTGCATGGTTGTTTTATATGCATGTCACCAAGTTATCCATGTAAAGTGAACTGTTAAAATGTATTGATTCCTTCCCATCCCTCTTCTCTCTCTCTTCTCTCTTCCTGCACACACATTCCATAGGTGTGTATGTATGTATATACCACACATACTTCTGCCTAAACTCACCCTGGGAATCAGAAATTGCCACCAGATAGTAAACAAATGAAGCCCAAGTCCTACATAGGCAGTAGGAACTTGTTTACTGGTGTGTGTTTGGGCTTCAATAAGCTTCTAAGCCAGAACCCTATTCTGCTTTGCTAGGGATCCAGGTAGGCTCACACCTCCAATAAACATTTTCTGAATAACCACTTAGCTCAGTTGGTTCCTAAGGTCAAGTAAGAGAATCCTGAGATAAATCAAGCTCTATCTGACTTGAAATTCCCAGTCCAAAATTTCTAGTCCAGAGAAAGGCTTAGAAACCAGCTGCATCCATATACTAAGTTTATACAGTTGGGAGGTCCACTGAAAGCTCAGAGGAAAGGAAACACTAGTTTGCCTGGAAGAATCAAAGACTTCCTATAGGATACATGCTGCCTAAACTGAGATTAGGAGGTGTAATAGGAGATTGCCAGGCAGGCCTGGCAGGGTGAAAAAGCCTCACACAGAGAATAACATAATCAAGCATGGAACAACATAATAAGGAAGAGGAAACAGCAAACAATTCTGTGTCCTTAGAGCAAAAGTACACGCCCTTTAAGAGGTGGGAAAGATAGACATGACCAGAAGATAGGGGACCTTGATTATAATGTTTTGGTTTGATTTAAAGGTGATCTTTTCAGGTCTTCAGTTACCAGGTTTTGCAAATGGAACATCAGGAAACCAGGATCACAGAGCCTTTTTCCTTCATGCTTAGCTCCAACTGAGGTGGAACTAGAAGGAAGTATAACTTTTTCTGTTTTTATTACCAGGCCACTGCACAAATGGAAGAGCGTCTAGCAGAATTCATTTCCTCCAACACTCCAGATAGTGTGTTGCCTTTGGCAGATGGAGCCTTGAGCTTTATTCAACATCAGGTGATTGAGATGGCCCGAGATTGCCTGGATAAATCTCGGAGTGGCCTCATTACATCACATTATTTCTACGAACTTCAAGAGAATTTAGAGAAACTTCTGCAAGATGTAAGTGTCCGTATGCTGGGACTCTGGTGAATTCTCTACATAGTTAGTGGATTATTAATCCTAAGATTGGAGTAAGGCATTAGTGGTGATCCCAGTCTTCTCAGCCTGCTCACCACCACAGGTCTCCTTACCAATGTGCAGGGCCCACCCCCAAGTATGGTGCTGATGCATGGGGTTCCTCCTCTTCTGCATTACTAAGAGAAGCCTACTTGATATCAAAAGAACTCAATTCTGTAATCCTTTTTCTAAATCCAATCCAAGTATGTATTACTCTGCCAGAGACTCCAAGAGCGGTAGTATTCATAAGTCTTTGACTGGGATATTTATAAACGAAAGCCAAAAAAGTGGACCCAGTGACTGTAGTTGCCTCTCTTCCAATAGAAATTATGGTGTAATATCATTTCTCCTTAGCCAAGAGAAAGCAGGCTGAGACTTGCCCTATGGGTTCATCTGTTAGATACATGATCCTATCCAGTATGAAAAGTCTCTGACAGGCTTGACAGGTAAAGTTATCCAGCTGCAGTCAAGATCAAATCATACACTGAGTTCCTAGTCACTGAATCATGCTCTGGTGTTTGATTGTCTATGAATCTCCAGTAAGCCATCAATAACGTTTTTGGGCAAGGAGCTCTATCTTCCTCACTAGGACTCAGTCCAGAACCCTTTATTCACTTTCAGACCTATGACCTTGCTCTGGTGTAGCACCAGATGAGCTGAGAGCCTGGGGCTACTGATCAAATAGAACTTTATTATGTTAGTCTGGAAATCATGAACAGGGAATATTTTTTTTTTAATTTAGGGAACTGTTGAATGTAAAAAATGGTTCTAGATTATTACTGTGAAATATTGGAAGATTTCTTATATATAATAGGCAGCAGATGGTTCTTGTCCCCTAGAAGGCAAACTAGCCCAGTGGACGAGAGTATAGTGAGAAAGGTTTTAATAGGTGAAAAAGTACTTCCTTCTACAAATTTTTTTTTCTAATTTCAGAATGCTTAAATTCAGACATTGCAGAAATAGAAGCTGAGAAAGCTAAAGTCCCATGAAAATCACTAGCAGCCATGTCTTTCTGTTCAAGAATAACTTTCTAACAGTTCTCCAACAATGAGTAGGAATAAGGGGTCACAGCATCAGGTCTATAAAGTTTCACTTAGGGGGTATCCCTGGTGGCGCAGGCAGTTGAGGGCAGTGCTGTGACACTGTCTGCAGCCTCTGCAGCTCAGGTGCGATCCTGGCCAGCCAGGGAGATACCCACATGGTATGGCAGACCTCTCCTGTCTCACCCACTGCTCCCCTCAGCAGTGTATTTCTTCAGTCTGCTTGTTCTGTTTCCTGCTCTGTCTTTGGTGAATCCTCTCACCCTCCCACACATCTGACCTATACCCCGGTTCTTGTATGCATAAATAAGTAAATCTTTAAAAAAATAAATAGGGTGGGCCGGTGGTGCAGCGGTTGAGTGCTGGGTTGCGAAGCTGCCCGCAGCCTCTGCAGCGCTGATTCGATCCCTGGCCGCCAGGCTAGGGTCCCACATGGCGTGCAAACCTCTTCTGCTGCTTGCTGCTCCCCTCAGCAGTGTGCTTCGTCAGTCTGCCTGCTCTGCTCTCCCCTCTGGCTCTGGTGACTTCTCTCATCCTCCCGCGCTTCTGACTACCCAGTGCTTGTATAAATAAATAAATCTTTAAATAAATAAATAAATAAATAAATAAATAGGGCCTCCCCAGTGGCACAGCAGGTTGAGCGCAGCACTGTGAAGCTGTCTGCAGCCTCCACAGCACAGGTTCGATTCCCAGCCGGCCAGGGAGATTCCCACATGGCATGACAGACCTCTCCTGTCGCGCCCCTGCTCCCCTCAGCAGTGTATTTCAGTCTTCTGCCTGTTCTCCTCCCTGCTTGTCTCTCGTGAATCCTCTTACCCTCCCGTGCCTCCGGCCTGTACCCCAGCTCTTATGTAAAAAAATAAATAAATCTTAAAAAAATAATAAAAATAAAGTTCTACTTAGGGTAACTTCCAAATTTGCTTGTACATCTAAAATTAATCTTCTAAAATGCTAAAGTTGGGCCTCCCTGGTGGCATAAGGGGTTAGGACGCAACCTATGAAGCTATCTGCCTCTGCAGCACAAGTTCCATCCCTGGCCAGGGAGCTACCCACATGGCGCAGCAGACCTCTCCTGGCTCACCCACTGCTCCCCTCAATGGTGTATTTCAGTCAGCCTGCCTGTTCTGTTCCCCATTCTGTCTCTGGTGAATCCTCTCCCCCCCCATACCTCCGGCCTGTACCCCAGTTCTTGTATGCATAAATAAATCTTTAAAAAAAGAACTATTAAAATAAAAATAAAATGCTAAAGTCAGGGCCTTTCCCAAAACCTTCAGGCATTTGACCAGACTCATTGTCCCTGGGAGTAGGTCGTTTGGTGCTATAGGAAGTGTACTGGATATGTAGCCAATGCATTCATCTTTTTCCTAATTCCTTGGGCCCCGGCAGTACAGTGAGAAAAACATATTCAGTGCAGGTTCTAACTCATTCAGAGCACTTTCTAACTCAAGAAACTTGCTATTTCCTGGGTCTACAGACCCAAAAACATATCTTTAATTACAACTGTTTTTTATTGAAGTATATGCTGTGTGCCAAACACCACACTGAGTATCCTGTATGAGTTATCTCTTTTGTTTGCTATAGTAAGTATGATTGATGAACACTAAGTAGAGGTGAGTTCTGAGACAAAGGAGGATGTGCAGACTGCATGGAGAGTTTGGGAAAAGTTGAGTTTTGATAAGTAGGTAGAAGTTCACTAGACCTAGGAGCCAGTATAAACAGTCTCTCTAAGTATGTGTAAAGGAAATCTTTCACCCCAGGAATTGCAGATAAAGTAGATGGCAAGATGAGAGTGAAGCTACCTGCAGGAGAAAGTTGGTAGATAAATTTGAAAAGTTAGAAATTTGGAAGTGGTTTTAATTATTTTAATTCAGTCTTCACAATAGCACTATAGAAAGATACTATTATTATTCCCTAAATCTGTAGATGAAGCCTAAAGAGGCTTAGTCCAAAGAAACTCTTAAGTAGCAGTGCTAGAACTCAAGCACAGGTTTGTCTTTTTCCACAAAATAAGATCATACATTTACGAACACTTAGTCAACCATCATTGATTGACATCTGCTGTGTAAGAGGCACTGTGCTAGACTTAACATGTGAAGGAAAAAAAAAGACACAGCCTCATCACTCACAAGACCCTACAGTGTAGCTATAGAAGACAGCCAACTAATTGAAAAGTGATATGATAGTACCATATGGCATTAGCAGACTCCAGGAGACATAGAAAAGGGAGGAGTTACTTCTTGTTCATGTGCACATGCATAAGAGCATGAAGCAAGGAATGTCGATGAGGCTTCACAGAGTTGATATTTGGGCCAAGTTTAAAAAAAATAAATAAGATTTCACCATATTTTCCATTCTCTCTCTTCATTTCATAACCAGTTTTTTAAATGGTCCTCGTGCTGTTTTTCTTTCAACCTATTCTCTATTTAGTCTTCTGCATTCTATTTTCCTTTCTCACTGTTTCACCGAAACTATTTCAGGCAAAAGTCACCAAGTAACTAATTGGCTAATTGTCAAATCCTATGAGCTCTTTCATTACTCACGTTTCTTCCCCCTTTTACACAACTTTATACAGTGAGTACTTCTCCTTGCATCCCACCCCCAACCTCCAGTTGTCATGACACTTTTATCTCCATCGTGATGCCTTTCCACATGTGCCTTCTCTGCCCATCCCTCAAATGCTGGAGTTCCAAGGTGGACCATCCTGAGGGTCTGTTCTGCTCTTTCTCTTCACACTCTTCCTTGTCAACCTCATCTGCTCCCTGATTTCATACCTACACTGATGACTCCCTCCCACCCATGTCTGCTGAGTTCCAGATCATTGTTCCCAGCTGCTTATTGGGCCCCTCCACTTTGACTTCCCCCGATTGGTTAGTATTTTTGGTTCAAGTAATAGAAAGCCAACTCAGAATAGTTTGATCAGGAAAGGAAAACTAATTATAAAGAGACAAAGAATTGAAGACAGGAATACCAGCAACCCTTGAAAAGGACCAAGGGCAAAGCCCAGAAAGTATTCACCCTCCTCCTGTGATTTCAGTTTTTCTCTACCCTTTGGTGGATATCACCATCCCTTTTCACTAAAGAGTAGATTATACAGTTTTGCAACGCTGACATTAACAGTTGTCTTTCCACCCATTTTCAAATCCCTAAGAAAGTAACCCACTGGTCATCTATTGGAGATAGGAAAGATGCACCCACACAATACAAATGTGACTTCTCTAAATCAGAGCAGTTTCTATGAAAAAGAGAAATTTTCTTCTTGGGCTGAACAAATACCCAAGAAAGAATCTAGTGAAGGTACCTGAAATTCTACATGTCGAAAACAATTTTTCTATCTTCCTGCCTTTTCTCTTTAGAGCAATGTAATATTTTCCTTACTTATTCTCAAACTGTTTATCTTCTTGTATTTCCTGTTTCATTTTGGAGTTTACTGAAATGTCCTTAAAACTGACATTGCATTTAACCTTCTATATTCACTTCTTTCACACCTCAAGCCTACTCAGTCAACTACCTCTGAAATGGTCCATCTGTCCATTCCTCGCCATACTTACTGCCTTGACTTTGCCTTTTTCATCTGAATTATTGCAATAGCTCAACCACAATGGGCTATAGGATTACTTAACTAACCTTTGTCTTCTCTATAGGCTCATGAGCGTTCAGAGAGCTCAGAAGTGGCTTTTGTGATGCAGCTGGTGAAAAAGTTGATGATTGTCATTGCCCGCCCAGCTCGTCTCCTGGAATGCCTGGTGAGTGGACCCTGGGACAGTGAAGGGATTGGAAGAGTGAGAGTAGAAGCTGGAAAGGAAGTAGCATACAAACAGCAAAGCTACTTCCATTTCTGCTGCTAATGTACTTATTTAAATAGAATATGAAAGCACTGGGGAACCAAAGGAGTTCCTGTGAGGAAAAACGAATGGTCCTGAGGGGACGCCTTCATTTAATCATTTAGCAACACTTTCCTGAGTACCTACTTTATGCTAAACACTGGATATACAACAGGAATAAAACTGTCCCTGGTCCTAAGAAGCTTCCTCTATAGTGGAATTAGATTTGGTTTGGTGTGAATAATATGTGTGATATTGCAAGAAATATGATGGTTGAGTTAAGTACAAGGTATAACAGGAACTTGAAGGAAGGGCTCTTTTACTCCTTGAAAACTCCCCAGAGGACATAAGGCTCATTGGTGCTTTGAGGCATAATTATGAGTTTGCCAGGTATGGGGCATAAAAAGGGGCATTTGAGAGAGTACAGAGTGCTTTTGAGAAATTGATGAGGGATAAACCTGGAAAATACACTATGACAAAATAAGGAGGAAGGATTAGGGTCAAAATAAGGGGCGGTGCAATTGTATGGGGAATATAACCAAAATGAAAATGCATACATTGTGTAAAAATGAAAAATGATGTAAGAATTATATAAAATAAATTATTAAAAAATTTTAAAAATTAGAATAAAGGTTTGTTGTTTATGTTGAAAAAAATATTTCCCTTGTACCTCTTTGCAAGAGTTAATCTGTTTTCCCTCTCCACTTTGCCCTCACTCTCAGGTAACAACTTATTGTCAGTCTTCTGTACAATTTCATATAAAAGAAATTACATGTCTTCTTTCATTCAGCATGTTTTGTTTTGTTTTGAGATTCATACGTGTTGCATGTATCATTAACTGGTTCCTATTTATTTCTGAGTAGTAGTCCATCAGATTTACTTCTAGGAAAGATGACTCTGACTGCAGCATAGATAGTGAATTGGAAGAGAGGGCAGGATGAGCCAGGGAAATAAGTGCAGAGGTACTTAAAGCAGTTCATGTGAGATGGGAGTTGCCTGAACTAGAACAGAGGTAGGAGAACAGAAAAGAGGAGATAGATACTTATGAGGTAGACACTCTGACTAGATGGGAACTAAGGATAAAACATTAAAAGGACTTCCAGGTTTGGCTATATTATATTGAGATTAGATGGGGGTATACTTCTCTAAAGTAACAAGACCAGAGGGGAAAAAAACAGCAGTGATGGGGTTGTGGTCAAGCCAAGGGCCTCTCCCTCAGGAACATGAAGTCCAGAATTAAACAGCTTCATGGAGTCAGGACTAGGATTGAATGCTGATTTTCTGTTCCTTCCTACCTCTGTGACCATGGACAGATCAGTATACCTCTATGAGCCTTATTTTCCTCACTGAGGTTACATAGGTACTGCTAGGGTTTAGCCCAGAGTGCAGCATTTGGTGGGCACTTAGTACTTGGATCCCTCATTATTATGTGCTCCATGCAGACAGGGACTGCTATGCTCTGTTCCACATGGGTCCCCTAGTCCTAGCACACAAGACGTGCTCAGAAAGTATCTGAACACATGCATGTACTACCAGGGCTAGGAACCATCGTTGAGAGTGTGCCAGGACTGGTCCTCTGGGTTGGGTGTGAACATACCTGACAGTGACATCTGAAGGCAGAGGGCTTGGGACCAGTTGAGATAGACTAAACTCAGTTGAAACCCAATTGCTGGGAAGACAGCATTTGCTTAGTGTGACAAATTTAGAAGTGACCTGTAAGCTTTGTCGACATTCTTATCCCTGAATCATGTTGTTTCTGGGTATTAAGGGGAAGAGGTGCCCCATCACCAAGAGAAAGTCTTCTTGTCTATCCTACTCTGGGTATATACTGTAAAGCCAGAGAAACCAGCTGCCTTCCCTTGTAGCACTCACCGCTGACTACTTCTCTCCCCTGGTACAGGAGTTTGACCCTGAAGAGTTCTACCACCTGTTAGAAGCAGCTGAGGGCCACGCCAAAGAGGGACAAGGGATTAAATGTGACATTCCCCGCTACATCGTTAGCCAACTGGGCCTCACACGGGATCCCCTAGAGGGTGAGCATACTGCTTGGTGGCTGCAAAGAGGCCCCATAGCAAACAAGGTCTAGCAGCAGGGAAGCTACTTGGAGAAGAGGCTTAGATTGGATATGGACACAACTTAGAATCAGGTTCTCAAGGCTATAAGAGAAACTGTGTATTCTCTCATAAAACATCCCTTTCTTTGGAATTGTTTTCATCATCTGCATAACATGACGCAATCTGGATTGCCTCTGATTGCCTCGATTGGTTGAATTTAGAGCCTGAAATCAAAAGCGGTAAACAACAAAAGACCACAATCTCATTTTCAAAATAGATCACCTCTCTGCATTATTTGCCTCCCCTCATTTTACAAGTGTCTTTGGGGTGGTCCGAGGGCTTAAAAGATAACACCATTCTTCCAGGTATTATGCCAAGCCCCTGGCTTCCAGTCCTGGTCTATATTTTTTGTGCTCCTGCCTTTCCTCCTTTCCAACCCCATCTGACAAAGCAGTCCTTACCAAGATGAGTATTAATAACCCAGGTTTGGGCCCTGTTTTTCAGGAATTGTCCCAAAGTTTGAGGGAAACTATAAATTTTGCCTCACCTTGTGAATGGCACTGGGGTCTGGAAACAGGAGTGGCAAGATCAATTGGCTAATTTCCTGGTCCAAAAGTTGTGACTGACTGCACTGAGGACAGAGCCACAGGACTGGATTTACATCCCAATCTGGTGCACAAAGCATTAGTGCCTACCCTGCATGCACCTATCATGTGATATGAGTGGACTGCTGAGATACCTGCCATTGCCTGTTATTGCCATTTCTTCTTATATCCTTGCTTTGTTTCTAGAAATGACCCAGTTGAGCAGCTATGACAGTCCTGACACCCCAGAGACAGATGATTCCATTGAGGTAAAGACTGTGAACTCCTGCCCTAATCTTGGAGTCTGGGCCCTATGAGGCAAAGGCTGTGCATTCTCTTTCAGAGAATATTTGAAGGAGGGGTTCGGGGGTGGGTGGTTGCCTACATAATCTGAGAAGTCATTGAGCTCCTGGGGAAGAATGAGCAGGAAGCTGCAGCAAGGTAAAAAACTGAGCTGATGATGGAACCACTGCTTCCCCAAACATAAGCCTACCTCCTGCCTTTTCCCTTACCTTCCAGGGCCGGGGGACATCTCTGACATCCAAAAAGACACCCTCTGAAGAGGACTTCGAAACCATTAAGCTTATCAGCAATGGCGCCTATGGGTAAAGGCAGGGGTCAAAATTTGGCTGGGACTAGCACTGTCAGTCCTTAGGTTCTTCCTTCTAGACATATATGATGCTCAATCCTCTCGGGAGCAGATGCTTCAGGATGGACCTGCGCCCTCCCTGAAGTCTCCCAGAGAAGCAAAAGTTCAGTTTCCTCTGACATCTGACATTGTGCCTTTCCCAGGCAATATTCCCATTCCTCCTGATAGCACCCCTCTTCTCCAGAGCTCTGGGGGAGGGTTGAACTGAGTCCTCAGGGCTTGGTATATTAAGGAATTGAAGAGTCAGTGTGCCCCAGTCCTCACTGATAAACATATCCCTGTTGCTTTGTTTGATGCTTTTGTAAGGCATGACAGGAGGCAGTGTGGTCATCTGGCTCTGGGTGGTGGAGTGCACAGCTCTGGCACTGAGAGCCTATGGGAGGACGGGATGGGCTATGTTTCCCAGGGCTGTGTTTCTGGTGCGGCACAAGTCCACCCGGCAGCGCTTTGCCATGAAGAAGATCAACAAGCAGAACCTGATCTTACGGAACCAAATCCAGCAGGCCTTCGTGGAGCGCGACATACTTACTTTTGCCGAGAACCCTTTTGTGGTCAGCATGTTCTGCTCCTTTGAGACCAAGCGCCACCTGTGCATGGTGATGGAGTATGTGGAAGGTATTGGGGGAAAAGGTGGCCTGGTGTGGAGGCCAAGTTACAATCCGAGATTCAGCACTGAGTTTGAATCAACAGCATGGTATATGGGGTGAAGTTTCAGGGCCCAGCTTCCCAGTCTCTCTTTGGCATTGGTTTCTGCCTTAGGAGTTTGGAGACCATTTTTGCCTCGGTGGGCACAAGACTTTTTGCCCTTCACAAGGGCTTCTAGAATATTAGCTGCCATGAAACTGCCCCTGTCAGATGCAGTGAGAGCCACTCTGGGATAGGAAGTATCAGCTCATCAGCCGTAGAGTCCTGTACACACCACCGGTGCCTCAGGCAGGAACAAAGGAGGCAGCAGAACCACAGAAGCCCAGGGTTGGATGTAGGATTCCTATCTGAAAATAATTTAGTCCTGTTCCTACAAGTCAGCTTACAGATATGGAGAGTTGGGATCTTTACCTCTCTGGCCTCAAAAGCCATTGGCAGATTCACCTTATGTCCTACTTCCCTCCACACTGTATCCCACCTATGCCAGCGGCAAGGAACTAATGAATCATAGGCTCTGGCACAAGGGTATTCTGTGAGGCTATCTCCTCAGAGATAGGCACCTCAGAGACTATAAGCCTGAGACCATCTAGAGTAGGGAACTGGATCACTCCTTCATGATGGCCTGGGCTTGTTGCAGGAGGAGACTGTGCCACTCTGCTGAAGAATATTGGGGCTCTGCCTGTGGACATGGTGCGTCTGTACTTTGCAGAAACTATGCTAGCCCTGGAGTACTTACACAACTACGGCATCGTGCACCGTGACCTCAAGCCTGACAAGTACGCACACTATCTGGTTCCCATATCCGAGGTCTTTCTTTTGTATCTCTAGATAAATGGAGACAGGCACTGCATGTCAACACTATCCCAGAATGGCTGCTAGGACACAGTGCTCATGTAGGTGTCCATCTAGGCCCAGTACTTCCTGACAACCCCATGCAAAGACCATTGCCAACAAGATCTGACAAGGACATTGTAAGGCTTGGGTGACACGTAAGAGTCAGTATCACTGCTCAAGAAGTCAAGCAGGAGCAAAATAGCACATCTAGCAGATGTATCCCAACATTTACTGACATCTACTCTGTGTCAAGCACTGTGTTCTGGGCTATAAATATAGTCCCTACTCTATGGCCCCTACCCTGAAGATCTTAAGTCTAAAATGGGAATCAGAAATATCTGTGTATAGGCTGTTCTCCAAAGCCATGAGGTGGAAAGGGGTGAGCAAAGCTTTGTAAAACTGGGGAGCAATATTTGCAAAGGCACAGCAGCATGAGAGAATGTGTCCCACTCCAGCACTACAAATAGTACCAGATGGCTGATGCTGAGATTATTGTTAGAGAATAGTAAATAGAATAGTAAGAGTGGGCAAGAGAGATAGGCAGGAATTAGATCCCCAAGGGTCTTTCTGTTAAGTTTAGGGTGGTTTTTTTTTTTTTTAAGATTTATTTATTTATGCATGCAAGAGCTGGGGTACAGGCCAGAGATGTGGGGGGTGAGTGGATTCACCAGAGACAGAGTGGGGAACAGAACAGGCAGACTGACTGAAATACACTGCTGAGGGGAGCAGCGGGTGAAACAGGAGAGGTCTGCTTCACCATGTGGTTTCTCCCTGGCTGGCCAGGGATCGAACTCATGCTGCAGAGGCTGCGGATTGCTTCATTGTGCGATGCTTAACCCCTTGTGCCACCAGGGAGGCCTGTTAAGTTTAGGTTTTAAAGATTCCTCGAGTGTCTTTATCAACCAAAGGTATGATTGAATAACATGCTCAGATTTTGTTTTTGATTAGGAAGATAATTGCCAGTGAAAAAGACAAGGAGGCCATTACTGTAGACCAGACCAAAATCAACAATGCCTGCACCAGAACGGAGTCAGGATGGTGAACAAAGGGATAGTGTTGGGAAGTAGAAAAGAAACAATATGGTAGAAGTGGGGCTTGGAAAGAGAAGTTTCCAGATTAGGACTGGTGCACAGTGATAAAGACTTTGTAGTGGAAAGTGGTACTGACATATGGACTTGAGTTCAAATGGCCACTCTTTAACTCTGCGAATTCCATTCTGTCATTTAAACCTGAGCCTCATGTTCTTCCTCTTTAAAAAAAAAAGCCAGGGTGATAGGAGCCTCCCTGGTAGCGCAGGGGGTTGAGTGCAGTGCTGTGAAGCTGTCCTCAGCCTTGCAGTGTGAGTTCAATTCCTGGCCGGCTGGGAGCCACCCACATGGCATGGCAGACCTCTCCTGTCTCGCCCGCTTCTCCCCTCAGCAGTGTGTTTTGGTACATGTGCCTGTTCTGTTCTGCTCCCTGCTCTCTCTGGTGAATCTTCTCACCACCCTGTGAATCTGGCCTGTATCCCACTTCTAAACAAACAAACAAACAAACAAACAAACAAACAAATAAAAAACAGCGTGATAATAGCTACCTTTGTTCTGTTATGTACTATGTAAGATCTTCCAGGAGCCAGAATATTTTATCAACAATCAATAAAACATTTATTACAGACCTCAGGGGGTAGAAATTGCTTTTCACTGAGAAGAGGAACCACTTAGGAGGCATGACTTTGTCTGGGAAGTTGAGTTTGTGGTACCTGTAAGATATCTGGGCAGTTAGTAGGCATGGAGCTCGTAGAAGTCAGGACTAGAGATACTGATGTGGAAATCATAGAATAAATGGGTAGCAAATGAAGCCTTTGACACAGAAGAAAATGACTCAGGTAGAGTTATATGAAGGGACAAGAGGCAATTCTCTGTGAGGACTTATGTCTAGTTTCCCAAGCAACCCCCCTTATAAGACCAGAAGTGGACATGCAACAAGATTATGTACCCCTTTTCCCTCTTCCTAGGTCAGGTATGGTGTCACCCAAGTTCAGGGAAGGGCACTGAGGATAGCTCATGCCCTCAGGTGAGGCTGATTGCTCTGTGGAGGAAAGTCTGTTCCTCACCTGGCTGTTACCTGCTCCCATCATAGAACACATTTGAGGGGAGTAAATACACATGAATTGGGGGAATGGCTGAATGGCAAGTTAGTGCTTATGCAGAATGCAGTGCTCACAAAGCCAGAGCTATTTATTCTTTTATGGTTGCCTGTCTCCCTGCTGAAGATATACTGCTTATACCCCATAGTAACCCTGTGGATGCCTATATGAGAAAATTTAGCATATACTAAAATCAGCACCCATAGGAAACCAGGAAATAACTTACGGCTTGTTTCTCTGGTTTCCCAGCCTTCTGATTACATCCATGGGGCACATCAAGCTCACTGACTTTGGCCTTTCTAAAATTGGCCTCATGAGTCTGACGACAAACTTGTATGAGGGCCACATTGAAAAGGATGCACGGGAGTTCCTGGACAAGCAGGTAAGGAAGGACAGTTGAGACTTTGGGGGTTGATTCCAGGCGTCAGAATAAGGACAGGGCCATATGCTTTACCCTGTAGCTAGACACAAAGACTGGGAGTTCATTTCCACCTTTGGGCTCCAGGGAGGCATTGAGAGAGAGAGAGAGAGAGCATGTTTGAAAGATACAGTGGGCCATGCTATAAAATAGGTATTATAACAGCCAACACTCCAAAAGACTGATGTGAGATCAGAGCTTAACAACTTAGCCTTCCTACGTCAAGTACAGGCTTTCCTGGCGCCGAGTCTAAGAATATAGCTTTAAGTTTTTGTTAGACTGTGGCCCAGCCTCTGAGAATGGCCTCTGGACATTCCCTGATTTGACATATCACATAGGGATTGTTTACAAGTCCGTATATTAGTCATATAACTGGTAGGATCTGTTCTGTGTGAGACTGGAGGACCGGCCAATAGTGGGAATCAGATAACAGAAGGAAGGGGAACAGAGAGTGGTGAGTCCAGATTAGAATTAGATGTTTTGGCTAATTAGGAAATACATAAACTTACTCCAGCAGTTCTAACTAGTACCCTGGAAATCCCATTGATCTTCACCTCATTAAAGTAAACTGGGTCTTCATTCATAGATTTTCTGCTCCAGAGGTCAGGCTGATGAGCTGCCTCAAGATGCTAAGCCAGCCTGATTTCTCTGCACCTAGGTATGCGGGACCCCGGAGTACATTGCGCCTGAGGTGATCCTGCGACAGGGCTATGGGAAGCCAGTGGACTGGTGGGCCATGGGCATAATCCTGTATGAGTTCCTGGTGGGTTGCGTCCCTTTCTTTGGAGACACTCCGGAGGAGCTCTTTGGACAAGTGATCAGTGGTAGGTACCACCACCCTGACCCACAGAGACACGGCCTGGATCCACAAAATGGTTTACCTGTGAGGCTTATGAGTTCTTGTTCTGGATTCATGTGTGTGCATGACTGGTGTGGTTTGCCTCTTAGGTGCAGCTTGTGTGTGCTCATGAACACATTGTCTGTCTCCTTGGAACTTGCTCTGCTCGTGTTCATGTATCTCTCGTGTATGCATGCATGTGGCTATGTTGTGTACATGCATGTCCTGTGAGTGTGAGTTCTGTGTATGTGTGTGTACCTACGTCTGGGCTATAAAGGCAAGGTCAACTGGAGCTTCAGCACAGCAGTATGGCTTTGCAGTTCCTACCCTGGATCAGAGAGCAAGCCATGGTCTAGGGTGTGTGAAGTCCCCCAAGGGATAGAGGAACCTGTAGCACTTAGAGACTGGGATCCTAAGCTGGACTTTCAGGAATTCTGGGCTGGGCCCATTTGGCCTCCTTTCCTTTATACACAACTTCTGAGACTCTTCTCTAATCTCCCTCCTTTTCCTTACCCCTCATGACTCTCCAGATGAGATTGTGTGGCCTGAAGGGGATGATGCACTGCCACCAGATGCCCAGGACCTCACCTCTAAACTGCTCCATCAGAACCCTCTGGAGAGACTGGGTACAGGTAGGGCAGGCCCCACTAACTTGTCTTACCTCTTGGAAGGGTCAGACTTGAGGTAGGCAGTCCTCTGGATCCGGAAAGTGCTCTGATCCCTGTAGGCAGCAGAGGAAAGGTACTAGAAGCTCTGCCTCTAGGCCTAGCCTCTCAAGGTTTGGGTTCTCACTGAATTTGCTGACTGGACTCCATAGCTTTGCCCATGCCTTCCCTGCCCACAGGAGGCGCCTATGAGGTGAAGCAGCACCCATTCTTTACGGGTCTGGATTGGACAGGACTGCTTCGCCAGAAGGCTGAATTTATTCCCCAGCTGGAATCAGAGGATGATACCAGCTACTTTGACAGTAAGGCCAAGGGGCCAGGGCGGGGAGGAGGGAAGAAAGGGAGAGTGGTGCAGAGATCCTGCCTGTTGGTCCAGAAATAAATGTGTTCCCTAAACTTGACATTGGGAGCAACTTCTACAGGCCCTGCTGAGGTCTGGTAGGGTCAAAAGGAGACCACCCCCAGCAACCTCTGCAGGGGATTGTCCTGTTTGTCTGACTCAGCCCGCTCGGAGAGATACCACCACATAGACTCGGAGGATGAGGAGGAAGTGAGTGAGGATGGCTACCTTGAGATCCGTCAGTTCTCTTCCTGCTCTCCAAGGTTCAGCAAGGTACGACTTAGAGGCCTGGACTAGGCAAAACAGACTAGAGGGGTGGGGAGAGATGTGTCTGGGGCAGATGGTAATGGGACTGCCCTAGGAAAAGAGGAGGAAAGGACTGGGCTTATATATGACAGGTGCTTCTAGAACCACTGCAAGCCCTGACGTAGGGAATGCTAGGGTGAGCTCGGGTCAGTCCAGTGGAATAGCTGTTGCTTCGAATGTTCAGCTGCTGTGTGTGTGTGTGTGTGTGTGTGTGTGTTTCTAGATCTCAGGTGTCAAGAATACTTTTTTTTTTTTTTAATAGAGGCATGTTTTATTTATTTATTTGTTTGTTTGTTTATACAAGCACTGGGTACAGTCAGAAGCGCGGGAGGGTGAGAGAATTCACCAGAGCCAGAGCGGGGAGCAGAGCAGGCAGAAGGACCGAAGTACACTGCTGAGGGGAGCAGCGGGCGGCAGGAGAGGTCTGCGCGCCATGTGGGACCCTCCTCCGGTGGCCGGGGAGCAGCCGGGGATCGAACCGGTGCTGCAGAGGCCGCGGGCAGCTTCGCAACCCAGCGCTCAACCGCTGCGCCACCGGGGAGGCCCAAGAATACTTTTTGCTCCTTGGGAAGTGTGGTTGTTGGAGCTCATCCCAGCACATCTTCTGTGCCCACAGGTGTACAGTAGCATGGAGCGACTCTCTCTGCTGGAGGAACGCCGGACACCACCTCCCACCAAGCGCAGCCTGAGTGAGGAGAAGGAGGACCGATCAGATGGCCTGGCAGGACTGAAGGGCCGAGACCGGAGCTGGGTGATTGGCTCTCCTGAGATGTGAGCACCCAGAGCTCACCCATGGTGGCCCACACACCAACCATCAGTTGTCACAGATCATGGGCGAGAGTTGGCTGTTAGGGAGGAGTACTAGTGGCAGCAAGGGGCTTTTAGTTATTTTTTTTTTAATTATTTATGCATAGAAGAACTGGTATGTAGGTGGGAGTGAGAGGATTCACCAGAGACAGAGTGGGGAGCAGAACAGGCAGATCTACTGATATACACTGCTGAGGGGAGCAGCGGGCAAGACAGGGGAGGTCTGCTGTGCCATCTGGGGCATTGAACTCAGACCACAGTGGTGATAGCACTGAGACTTAGCACCAGGCCACTCGGGGACACCCAACAAGGGGCCCAACAAGCTCCTAGAGGAATATCTGAAAAGTTCTGGGATTTAGAACTCTTGTTAGCCCCTGAGGAAGCCTGGGCTGGAGGAGGGAGACTGCCTGGGTCATCTCACCCAAGGCCGTGTGTCTTGCAGATTGCGAAAGCGGCTGTCGGTGTCTGAGTCGTCCCATACAGAGAGTGACTCAAGCCCTCCACTGACAGTGCGACGCCACTGCTCAGGTCTCCTGGATGTGCCTCGCTTCTCCGAGGGCCCTGATGAGGCTAGCAGCACCCCCAGGAGACAGCAGCAGGAGGGTACAGGATTTCTCACACCCCTGTCTGGGGAGGGAGTATCTGGACCTGTCCCTGAACGACCCGTGGAGCAGCGGCTAAAGCTGGATGAAGAGCCTGTTGGCCAGAACAATGGTTCTAGTCCAGGTGTGGCATAGCAGGTGGCCAGAGGGCCTAGACTCGAGGATACTGCAGGGAGACAGGGAGGGGAGACTCAGCTGCAGTGCAGGTCTCATTGCTCACTTGGGTCTACAGCTATGGAGTCACAAGGAGGACGTGGAACCCTGCAGCTGGCTGAGGGAGCCACAGCCAAGGCCATCAGTGACCTGGCTGTGCGCAGGGCCCGCCACCGGCTACTCTCTGGGGACTCTCTAGAAAAACGGTCGGCTCGCCCCATCAACAAAGTAATCAAGTCCGCCTCAGCCACAACCCTGTCTCTCCTCATCCCTTCAGGTGAGGTCCCCAGGGAACTAGGATAAAATTCACAGAAGGGTGTTGGAAGCTCTGTGGGTCTGGCAGGTGCATCTGCATGGTGTGTTGAGGGGCTGTGTTTCACTACTGCTCCTTTGTTATAATCTAGCGTCTCTAAAGTTACGCTCTGGTGTTGGGGTTGTGTGTGTGGGAGAGAGAGGTCAGCTGAGACAGAGAGCTTATATTCAAATCATGGCTCTTTCGCTAAATGACTTTTAACCTTGGAGACATTGCTTAATCCCTCCGAGTCTCAAGTTCCTCATCAAAAAATGGGGAATATTAATAGTAGTCACTCCTAGGCTAACTGTGACATTTAAATACATACAAAGACCTTATCCCTGATATGTATGAGTAAACATTCAGTAAATGGTATCAGCCATCCCCTATCACCTCCATCTCTTGGGGTCTGAGAGGGTCTGGGCACACAAGAGGGCTTAGAACATGTAGGGGAGCAGCTCTCCTGCCCACCTGTGACTATGCAGATTTCTCTCTTTTTCTTTCTCCTTTTCCTAATAAACCTTTTAAAATGGAAACAAAACAAAACAAAACTAGAAGCTGTAGGGGAAACATAACCTGGGCTCAGGATCTCTCGGTAAATAGAGCTATCCTGGAATCAACACCTTAGGCAGGGGCCTGGGTTGGGAGCATGGGCCAGGCCAGCATTCTGACCACTAAGTCCTAGCTTGTCCTTCCCCAGAACACCACACCTGCTCTCCATTGGCCAGCCCCATGTCCCCACATTCCCAGTCATCGAACCCATCATCCAGGGACTCTTCTCCAAGCAGGGACTTCTTGCCAGCCCTCAGCAGCTCAAGACCACCCATCATCATCCATCGAGCTGGCAAAAAGTATGGCTTCACTCTGCGGGCCATCCGTGTCTACATGGGTGACTCGGATGTCTACACTGTGCACCACATGGTGTGGGTATGTCTGGCCACCATCTCTGTTGGCTCCCACTTTTATCTCTTCTCTGCCTTCCGGGTACTAAGGCCTACGTGTCCCTGCCCACACTGGGGAGGGGTGGGGAGGACACAACTTGAGCAGAATCAGGCCCCCTACTTCATGCTCAGACTCCAGGCTGAGGACTGTTCTCTCCCTGGGGCAGCACGTGGAAGATGGAGGTCCAGCCAGTGAGGCGGGGCTTCGCCAGGGTGACCTCATCACTCATGTCAATGGTGAGCCTGTGCATGGGCTGGTGCACACAGAAGTGGTGGAGCTGATCTTGAAGGTTAGTACTGGGTATACTGCCTACTCTGGTCCCTCCAAGACCCAGCCTTGTGAGTCTCTGAGTGGCCAGAGGGGTGTTGGGAGAGTGGGGCACAGACACTGCACACTAAAAACAGACACAAACCCAAACTTGGGTGTAACCACAGCAGTGGGGTTTCACTGGAAGGTAGCACCCTCACTGACCCAGGGATCCTTGGGTATAGGACTAGAGAACAAGACAGGTGAGCCTCTTCGCTACTTTCCCATCCCCAAACCACTCAGGCTTCAGTTGGAGTCATTTCCTAATCTGTGGTTCAGAAACGTTGATGCAAGGACAAAGCTAAAGCTGTGCTGCAACCATGGGCAGGGGTAGCGGTAGGAGTGAGAACAAGGTAACTGCCTTAGCCAAGACTCATTTCATGGTCTGTTTCCCAGAGTGGAAACAAAGTATCTATTTCAACAACTCCTCTGGAGAACACCTCTATTAAAGTGGGGCCAGCTCGGAAGGGCAGCTACAAGGCCAAGATGGCCCGAAGGAGCAAGCGGAGCCGAGGCAAGGATGGACAAGAAAGGTGAGCCAACTTAGCCCAGGGGTCTGCTCTGAGCCACCCAAGTGTTAGCTGGGGATCCATGCCCTAGCCCTAGTGTATACTGTGCTGTTTGCGCCAGCTCAGACAGCCTTTGACTCTTGTCTCTGCAGCAGAAAAAGGAGCTCCTTGTTCCGGAAGATCACCAAGCAGGCGTCCCTCCTCCATACCAGTCGCAGCCTGTCTTCCCTTAACCGCTCCTTGTCGTCAGGGGAGAGTGGGCCGGGCTCTCCCACACACAGCCACAGCCTTTCCCCTCGATCTCCCACTCAGAGCTACCGGGTAACCCCTGATGCTGTGCATTCAGGTATGAAGGGCCCCCTTCAGGTTTCAGAGACAACCCCTGGGAGATAGGACAGTGCCTGAGTCCTCTGAAACTCATTTAGGCCACTCCCTGAAAGACCCAGCAATCCTGGGAGGAGGTTACATGGGTGGAGGGTGACCTAGTTTCTGTAGCTTGGGATCTGGTTTACCAGTGGGATAATCTTGATGCTGCTGGGACATTGTATGGTGAGACCCTACCTTGTCCCTCAGTCACTTCTACCTGCTAACATTGCTCTGCCTTTGTCTGTGTGTCTGTCTGTGTAAAGTGGGAGGGAATTCTTCACAGAGCAGCTCCCCCAGCTCCAGTGTGCCCAGCTCCCCAGCCAGCTCTGGCCACACACGGCCCAGCTCCCTACACGGTCTGGCACCCAAGCTTCAACGCCAGTATCGCTCTCCTCGGCGCAAGTCAGCAGGCAGCATCCCGCTGTCCCCACTGGCCCACACCCCTTCTCCACCACCAGCAGCTTCACCCCAGCGTTCCCCATCGCCCCTATCAGGCCACGGAGCTCAGGCCTTCCCCACCAAGCTTCATCTGTCACCTCCCCTAGGCAGGCAACTCTCACGGCCAAAGAGTGCAGAGCCACCCCGCTCACCACTGCTTAAGAGGGTACAGTCATCTGAGAAACTAGCAGCTGCCCTTGCTGCTTCTGAGAAGAAGCTGGTCACTTCTCGAAAGCATAGCCTTGACCTGCCCCACCCTGAGCTAAAGAAGGAACTGCCACCCAGGGAAGTCAACCCTCTGGATATTGTTGGGACCAGGACTGTGCTCTCTGGAAAAGGGGCTCTACCAGGGAAGGCGGTGCTGCAGCCTGTTCCCTCACGGGCCTTAGGCACCCTCCGACAAGACCGGGCTGAACGGCGAGAGTCACTGCAGAAGCAAGAAGCCATCCGTGAGGTAGATTCCTCAGAGGATGACACTGATGACGAACCTGAGCACAGCCGAGGTCTACAGGAGCCAACCTTGATATCTAACCCAGAAGTGGGACAGGATCTACCTCTCAGAGGAGCAAGAGAGGGTGAGGAAGGAGAAACTTTTCTGCCCAGAAACCCCAGGAGCCAGGGCCCATTGGTCCCAGACACACTGACAGGGGTCACACTGGGGCCTCCTAGAATGAAATGCCCTAGTGATCCCCAGAGGAGGCTTGAGACCCCCCAAGCCTTTGAGGCTACCAGCTCCTCAACACCAGCCCCCAGCGTGGGTGGGGCTGGACCTACAGATCCCATTCCCCAGGAAGGCTGCTGGAATGCCCATCACCTCCACACCCAGGCACTAACAGCACTTTGTCCCCTCTCCACCATTTGTTCCACTTCTTCCTCCACTGCTGGAGAGCCAGGTCCATGGTCCTGGAAATTACTTAGTGAGCACCCAGACAGAGCAGCCTCCAGCAGAGGGGCAACAGTGAAAGGTGGACTGCCTGGCCCCCAGTATTTGGAGAACACAACTCCAGCCCACCCGGAGAACCTTTGTCCCAGTCAGGCAGGGAAGTCACGGCCTCCCAATGTTCCTGAGCTGGCCCGTCCACCTTGTGGGGTTCTTAGCCAAAGCTGGCTCTGGGAGCCCGAGTGTACACAAACAGAGAAAGAGGAGCCAGCCCTGGGTACCACCAAAGTGCCTGATGCCTCAGGTGACAGGAGGCAGGACGTTCCATGCAGAGGCTGCCCACTGACCCAGGAGCCTGGGCCCAGCCTGCTCTGGAGGGGCCGAGACCCAGGGCATCCTCAGAAGCATCAGGACTTGGTATTGGCACCTGATGAGCTTTTAAAGCAAACATAGTAATTGTCATTTCTTGCACTCAGACTTGTGTAATACACGCTCTTGGAAACCACCTTTATGTTTCTTATGTTTGCTTCTTTCCTTCAGTCAACACAAGTGTAACTCAAGGTCCTATATTGCTGATAATACAGTGAATGAATAAGACAGCTTCCACTGTCAGGGTAGGAGTGCATAACTTGGCTTGGTTTTCCAGAAACAATGATATGTGAGCTCAAACCTAAAGGACGGAGGATAGGTAATAGTTCGCTAGGTTTGAAGAATGAGAATTGGTATAAGAAAGAATGTCTAGGTAAAGAATACAGCATATACGGTATTCCTGGTTTGTTAAAGAAACTGAAAATAAGAGGGGAAATGGAGTCAGTGAGTTAGGTAAAGGCCAGTTCTGATTGTCTTCCAGAAGTCTAGACTTTCTGTAGTTGATGGAGACCAGGAAAGGCCATGATTTATAAATAAGAGAACTCGAGTTTTCAGATGCTAACATGCCCAAAATCATATACCCTGGGCAGACTTAGGATTAAAATTTAGGTTTCAACCCTAGAACCCACATTTCTCTCTTCTTTTTTTTTTTTTAACATTTATTTATTGGGGCCTCCCCTGGTGGCGCAACGGTTGAGCGCTGGGCTGCGAGGCTGCCTGCAACCTCTGCAGCACCGGTTCGTTACCCGGCTGCCGGCGAGGGTCCCACCAAAAAAAAAAAAAAAAAAGATTTATTTATTTATGCATACAAGAGCTGGGGTACAGGCCAGAGGTGTGTGGGGGGAGGTGAGAGGATTCACCAGAGACAGAGTGGGGAACAGAACAGGCAGACTGACCAAAGTACACTGCTGAGGGGAGCAGTGGGCAAGTCAGGAGAGGTCTGCTGTGCCATGTGGGTTGCTCCCTGGCCGGCCAGGGATCGAGCTCGTGCTGCAGAGGCTGCGGACAGCTTCATAGGTTGCGTCTTAACCCCTTCCACCACCAGGGAGGCCCTTATCTCCTGACTCTTAGCCAGAAAACAAGGTGGGGTAAGAAGTGGTGAGGTAAAGAGTTGAACTTTGTATATATTTGATTTGAGGTATCTCTGAGGCATCCAGAGATAATTAGATGCATGGGTCTGGAACTCATTAGAGAAAAATAGATTGAAGATAGACATTTAAGAGCCATCAGTGTATCAATAGTGACACATTGGGGAGCACTAAGATATAGGCAAAAAAGACTTAGAAGCAGCCAGAAGAGAGTCTTAATATTCAAGAAAGGAAAGATATTTTAATTGGAGGGAGAAGTGCTTGGTAAAATGCTGAGAAGCCAGGTGACATGAAAACAGATACTGCCTTTTGTTTTAATCAGTCTTTAATGTTTATAGCCAGTGAGCCCTTCTGGTCTATTTGTCAGTCAATCTTCAGCACAGTAGCTGGACATTGCTGAGGTGGACCATTCCCAGTGAGTTACCCACATGGTGGTGAGTAGTGTGGAAGGCAAAGGGAGGACATTTGTGGGACCATTGTGTGGGAGAGTCAGATGGCACCATGGGGTTGCAGGACTCAGGAAATTGCTGCTTGCTCTACACAATCCACGCCTAGGTCCAAAGGATGCCCAGAGACAGGAAAATGCCTCTAGACCAGGCATCGCTGTCGTCATCACCTAGCTTGGGGAAAAGCTGTGCCGCCAGAGGGCGCACCCTGACTGTGGTGGCAGAGCCCACCAGTGAGCCATGAAAACTTTCTTCCTTTGGTTGCTCACTGACAGCAGACCCTCTGCCAGCCTGTTACTGGACACTGGGAAGTGCTTGCCTGGGGGAGACCTTCATGCATATCAAGTTAGAAGCCCCATCCTATAGGTGAAGAGGGTAGGCCAGAAAATAAGGGCAAATCTTGTTGCAGTTCATGGAAGCAAGGAACTGCCCCCTTAGAGGGGTTGGAAATGAGGGTTGGGAGGAGTAGGCACTGAGAGGTTATGCATCCTGCCAATCTTAGGGAGACTGCTCCCAGTGCCAATGTTCTCTCCTTAAGAAAAACACTGCCAGATTAACCTGAAGGGAGTGAGAGAGTTCTGAGAAGTAATTGAAGGGAAATGGTATAATGGGATTTATGTTTTAGTAACATCACTGGCTATAGTGTACAGAGACTTGAATAGGGTTAACAGACTGAACAGAAAATGCAGTGATCCATTATGGTATCTGAATGGGGACAATAGTGAGGTTCCCCCCAAGGAGGAAAAAGTGCAGGAAGCCGAAACAGATTGGGGCAGCTATCAGCAAACAGGTGGTAATGAAAGCCACAGGAATAGAAGATTGTGCAGAAGGGAAAAGTTAAAACCCAGGACATTGGAACTACCTAAGTGGAGGGAACCAGTGAAGAGGAACTGAAGTGGGAAATGAGATCTAGAACTTGGGAAAAGCCAGGCCATTTTAAGAATTTTGTCATGTATCCTAAAAGCAATTGCAAGTTATTTAATGGCTTTACAGTTTCAGGTGTGTATTTTCAAAAGATGATTCTGGTTGCTATAACAAGAATGAATTTGAGGGGCGCAAGAATGGAAGAAAAGAAGCCTTGCAGTACACAAAAGTGAGAAGTGGTAGTGAAGCTGAAGAGAAGTGATGTCTTTGATATTTTGAAGGTAAAATTGATAGAGGTTGGTGATGGGTTTTACATAGACATGAAGCAGAGGAAGGTTTCAAAGATAAACTACATTGAGTTACACAACTAGATGAATTACCTATTTCATATTTACTGAATTGTAAAATGTGATTTAACCAGGGCCAGGTGATGACCCTGTAAATCACTGGGCTACATGTGACTTACCTCGCAGTAGGTCTGCGCAAAAGGAATGAAGGACAGAATTGGCCTGGAGATGGTAGGTGAATTCATGGATGTGGAGAAAAGGGAAAGGGCGTGAGTGAGAGGCAGCAGGAAGAATATGAGACTGAAGTCCAGAGAATTAGAAGGAAGGGAGAGAGGAAAGCTAGATGAATGGGTCTTCATTGGAGCCCATGGGAGAATTTTCCATAATGGACAAGCAGTCAATACAGATGGTTTTTGAAAACATATCAAGGAGAGCAATTTCAGTTAGTAGCAGAACTAAGAAGAATCCAGAACTGAAATGCTTGAGGAGATGAAATAAATTTAGACAGTTTTTTCAAAAGACTTGGCTTTGAAGAGGAGAAAAGAGATAACGGGATAAAAGGATTGAGGATTGGAGAAGTGGAGTTTAAATGTCACCCAACCGTGTTTAAATGTCAATGGGTGAAAAGTTGAACAGAAGCTAAAGAATTGATCATGGTGGCTTTGGAGAAAGTGGGAGAAAACTGGGTCCAAAATACAGAAGGAGTGGCTTTTTAGTTGGAAGACTACCTTTTGTTTTTTTTGTTTTTTGTTTTTTTTAAAGAGGTTGTTTTTTTTTTTTATTTTTATAGAGGCATGTTTTCTTTCTTTCTTTCTTTCTTTCTTTCTTCCTTTCTTTCTTTCTTTCTTTCTTTCTTTCTTTCTTTCTTCCTTTCCTTTCTTCCTTTCCTTTCCTTCCTTTCCTTTCCTTCCTTTCCTTTCCTTCCTTTCCTTTCCTTCCTTTCCTTTCCTTCCTTTCCTTTCCTTCCTTTCCTTTCCTTCCTTTCCTTTCCTTCCTTTCCTTTCCTTCCTTTCCTTTCCTTCCTTTCCTTTCTTTCCTTTCCTTTCTTTCCTTTCCTTCCTTCCTTTCCTTCCTTCCTTTCTTTCCTTCCTTTCTTTCCTTCCTTTCTTTCCTTCCTTTCCTTCCTTTTTCCTTCCTTTCCTTCCTTCCTTCCTTTCCTTCCTTCCTTTCCTTCTTTCCTTTCCTTCCTTCCTTTCCTTCCTTCCTTTCCTTCCTTCCTTTCCTTCCTTCCTTTCCTTTCCTTCCTTCCTTCCCTTCCTTCCTTTCCTTCCTTCCTCCTTCCTTCTTTCCTTCCTTCCTTTCCTTCCTTCTCCTTCTCTCCCCCTTCCCTCCCTCCCTTCCCTCCCTCCCTTCCCTCCCTCCCTCCCTTCCCTCCCTCCCTCCCTCCCTCCCTCCCTCCCTGCCTGCCTGCCTTCCTGCCTGCCTTCCTGCCTTCCTGCCTTCCTGCCTTCCTTCCTGCCTTCCTTCCTGCCTTCCTGCCTGCCTTCCTGCCTGCCTGCCTGCCTGCCTGCCTGCCTGCCTGCCTGCCTGCCTGCCTGCCTGCCTGCCTGCCTGCACTGGGTACAGTCAGAAGCGCGGGAGGGTGAGAGAACCCACCAGAGCCAGAGCGGGGAGCAGAGCAGGCAGAAGGACCAAACTACACTGCTGAGGGGAGCAGCGGGTGGCAGGAGAGGTCTGCGCCATGAGGGACCCTCCTCCGGTGGCCGGGAAGCAGCCGGGGATCGCGCCTCGGCAGCCTCGCAACCCAGCGCTCAACCCTGCGCCACCGGGGAGGCCCAGGAAGACTACCTTTTGTAATGTTAACACATGAGGGACAGGAGGTGTGTAGGTACAGAGAGTTTTGGTGGTGGAAAAGTTAGGAAATTCATAGCCAAACATGTTTTCTCTAAACAAATTTGCAGTGCCAATTGGACACCCAAGGCCTCAGTGGGGATACACAACCAACACACAGAGTTCAGAAGAGAGCACTACACTGGAGACAGGAATTTGATCATTCTATGCAGAAAATGGGAACAGCTTTAAGGATTAATCCTTAAAAGCCATCCGTAATTTGTAGCAGTGGCCATGGGGTAATAGGTACACACCATTCCCCTACCTAATCTGATTTGTAATTCAGTACACATCTGGTTGGGGCCTGAGAGAGTGGATAAGAGCTACAATGGCCTGTGCAAGCAGAGGTGGTCACATGTTTGCTAGTTATGTTTCCAACACAGGAATCTCAGCTGACTAAAGGCCTGGGGCAACTGTAAGTCCATTTCTCTGGCGTCCAGAATAAAATGTGGAAATACTTATTCCCAAGTGATGAGAAGCTGGGCTTTTTAGTAATCGGGACTGGGATGACAAAGAAACAGTGCTCAGATTTCACTTTCTCGGAGTTGGTTTCTGAGTCTCCCTATGTCTGTGAACAGGATTCTGGCAGCATGCCTGTTAGGATCAATTACCTTTATTTTGGGGGGAAGAGAGCTTCCGGTGGCCTCAGTTCACCCCGGGACTACTTGTGAAAGAGAAGGTTTGGGAGTTTCAACACACCAGTCTTCCTCTTGCCCTCACCCACCCCTCCCCACACACCCAGCCCACCACTCCATAGCATGAAGACAAAAAAGTGCTTTATTGCAATGTTTTTATTGCATTACTGGAGCAAGTTGGCCAGACTGTTCCCCCTTGGGGAAGGTAAAAAACAAAGACCAAAAAGTAGCTCCCCTGACCTTCCCCCCTCCCTCCCCCCACAACTGCACAGCAATGTCTGAACACATCTGGTGACAAGAACAATTTGCAAAAGTGGTCTAGGAACTACATTATGAACTGTCCCAACACAAGACACATAGTTGGCTTTCTTGTGAGCAGATATTTTTATGTAAACTACATGAATTTTTTGGACTACATCAAAGACAACAGAATAGCTTTTCCACAAGTAACAATAGGATACCAAAGTCACATGCTGGAGTTTGTAAGAAAACAAGGTTTGTCACAAGTGGCAGGAGCTAAAGCAAGGCTGAACACTTGGCCCCCATCTGGACCCTCTATTTTGAGGCCTACCCTGGAGTCTTCACTGGCAACAAAGACCATCGTGAAAACCAGAGATTGCACAGATGGCAATTCTTGGCCCAAGACTCATGCAGTTGGTTCCTTGAAGCAAGAGGAGACCATGAAAGATAGGACAACGGCACTCAAAGCTGCTTCAGACCAAATGAGATCCAAAATAAGTCCAACAAGGCTTGGAAATAATAGGGGAGGCATTTAAAAGTTCTCAGCCTCTGCCAAATCAGTGTTAAGGACACAGCTAGCCTATAGAGGCCTCAGCCTTGACCAACGTTTAGCATTAATGGCTAGGTGGAAACAACATTGTTCCATGATGAAAGCTCCACCTAGGGAAGATGGGCCTAAAACCTATGTCCAGTGAACCCCAAACTGCCTCCATATTGGTGGCTGGCTTTTCCAGCAGGACAATGAATGAGTCTGATCTTGGTCTGTGCCTCTTTAGCATCTGTCTCAGTGAAGCTGAAATTAAGATGCCAAGAGAGAAGCCCAGGGCCCAGATCACGGGACAGGACACAGCTAGACTCAGAAGGAGGCCAAAACTTTGCCAAAATGATGGCAACCCCTTCCAGGTGATTACTAGACTGGCCCCTATGCTATTTCCACGGACTCAGGAGATCAAGTAAGTTGTGTGGCAACTACTCAAAAGATATTTTCCAAGTTCTCAAATGATCCCTAGATCTTAGTTCCCACAAAACAACAAATGAAAAAAGTTTGAAACAACATGTGAAGGAATGTAGGACTAAGAAAAAAGGTCAGCCCTTCTCCACAAACCAGTGTAGGTAACAGGTGGTGCTAGCTCTCTCCCTGTACACCCTTAATGTCTGCTTGACAAGGGGAAAGACATGGTTCAGTGTTACAGGCATGAATCCTTATTTCCATTTTTGGCTTACTTTAGAAGAAACCTCCAGAAACTAAATTTTAGAATCAGGGGATTCCTTGTACCCAATCTTGAGCATCCAACTACTTAAGCAGGTTCAACACAGGTGAAAGCCATCCACTGTGTCCAGCAGCAAATTGCCTGGATTACTCAGTAAAACTTTCATCAAGATTTCTCCCTGGCAATGTGGAGAAAGGAAGTACAGCTGGCTATTAGTTATGGGCCTAAGTCAGAATAGTGATAGTGACACTGGAGGGGGGATCATTTGTCTCACCCAATCCTGAAACTGTAACATCACCAAGAAAAAACCAAAGATACACACTTTCTCTCCTATCCTGATTGCTAGTAACTTTTTTCCAAAAATTTTAATCTATTACTATGTCATGGCCCATTCTAGTCCCTTTCCCAAGATAAGTGCTCAGGGTAAAACTCTCATTCACAAAACTAGAGCTTTCTTACCCGTGAGCCTTACGCACAAAGACCCTGAAAGAGGCTTCTCTAGCTCAGCCAGGATGCCTCACTGCACAGTTTTGGGCTCCAACAGCTGATCACTTGGAGTCTGTTACGGTTCCAGGATTGGTTCAAGAGGCAGCTGGACTCATTTGTCAAATGAGTGTTAACTGAGGGAGTTGGGCATAATGGAAGAAGGAGTAGATGCCTGCCCCCAACCCCATTCACCTACCTTCACTCAGCTAGAAGACTTAAACCACATGGAGCAGAAGATTCCTGGCCTAAAATCAGGGCCACTGAAGCATGAGGACAGTTTGTGCACACATCTTAATGGCAGGATCACAAAAAAAGGCAAAGATAAAAGCTTCCAGATGGCTTCTCCTGACAGTCTAAACTCCCAAATCATCCCTTATTCACCTTGCAAGTTTTGGAAAACACTATATGGAAGCACATGGGTACTGTGGTATGACCCTAGCCCTGGACACCAGAACCACTGGGTCTGTGATTTGCTGAGTTCCCTAACCACAACCTGGCTCCCTTCCTGCTACAGCCCTTGTCACCTATGGCTCCCTGAGCCCTACCCAGCAAAGGATGGGAGATGAAGGGAAATTAAACCATGTTTACTGCTTCTGCAAGGTCTTTAAATTTGAGGAAGCACATATAAGAATGTTGTTCTATATCAATATTTGGTATATCAAGCCATCTAAAAGCACTGAATTGCACCTTTTCTTTACTCATACAAACAAGTTACAAAAGTTTCAAACAACAGCTCCTCCTGTAGGCTAAGGAAACACCACACAAGCACCAACTTCATTTTATGATTCAAAGCTCACCATGCCCACAAAACAAAACAAAACAACACAACACTATTTCTCATCTCTGAGAAACAAGGGAAGGGCCAGAGTTACAGTGACCAATTTTTGTGTTTGTTAAAACTAACAAATTCTAGGTTTCCTTTCAGTTTCAAGTTTTGGTACAGAAGTGTGCATTCAGATACTAGTGCCGCCTTCTTAGTTCAGCAACAAATGCTGTTTTGCTGGGGTCAATTTGGTTTCTAAACATGATGCTTTTTTTTTAGAGGGAGGAGCTACTGAGATGCTGACACTCAACTGAAGGTGTTTTACCCTTGACTAAGATTCTTTAAATGAAATTCCAAACCTCCCGATTTTCCTTTGGTTGTCTTTTTCACCAAATGCTTTCTACCACAGAACCAAAACAGTCATCTTTGGGGGAGGAAGAGAGATGGCCAGATCACAAGAGAACTGGCAGAGTCATCCTCCTGCCACATGCTCAAGAATCTAAGACCAAAAAAAGACACTGACTCTATAGAGGCTTCCAGATACAATCTACCACCCCCGTCAAGCCTAATGTGATCTGTTGAGGATGCTTGGTTAAACAAAACAAGCTCCCAGTGAAACTTTCCAAAAAAACAACATCTGCTTCCAGCTTCGTATGTCAGTGCAGCGGCACAGCTGAGTCCCAGAGAACCTCAGGCCCTTTATGCCCCCATCCTGGCCAGCTGCTGCTCGGCCTCTCCACTTCACATTCACAGAATCACTTCTTGTGCAAAACAAGCAGTCTACGTAGAAAGAATGCCCTCATTGTCTAATAAAAACTGTAGAAAAAAATGCTAGAGAGCCACCTCTCTTCCCATTCCCCCTTTATCTGCAGAGCGAGGGCATCTGTGCATGGACAGGGTAGGCAAGCCTGACGTTGAGGGAGTCATTGTGCTGAACGAGAGAGGTCTGCTGGTAGTGGAGCACCAGCTCCTTCAGTGAGCTGTACAGGTTGTAGGGCTCTGCAAAGCCGTATCCCCGAGCAGTGCTGTAGATCACACAGTGCTTCACTTCCCCATCAGCCCTGCAACGACACAACCACCACAAGGAATTAAGACAGATAATGATAAAGGGAACCCAAATGGCCAGAAGTCTGGGAGCAACTGTCACACAAAGGAGAAGTGTTTTGTCAACAAAGTCTGCAAAATGTGACATTCATGTGTGTCCCTTTACCCCATTTTAGACAGCGATATCCTTCACCTCCCACCAAGACCTGGTGGAGCTGAAATGGATTAAATCATGAACTCTGGATATTCACTAGCAAGAATACACTAGAGAGGGACAGAACAAATCAACTTTTCTTAAGTGTATAAATCAATGGTTTTTAGAATATTCACAAGATTGTATAATGATCGTCATCTAATTCCAGAATATTTTCATGAGATAAACCATGTATCCATAAGCAAACACTGGTAACGCTACCCCCAGACACTGGTAACCACTAAACTACTTTCTGTCTTCTGTTCTGGACATTTTCTATAAATGGAATCATACAGTATGTAGACTTTTGTATCAACTTCTTTCACTTAATACACCATACTCAAAGTTCTTCCATGTTGTAGCATGTATTAGAGCTTCATTTCTTTTTATGGCTGAATAATATTCCATTGTAAGGATATCCCACATTTTGTTTACTCATCAGTGGATAGACACTTAAGTTGTTTCCACTCCTTGTCTATTAGGAATAATGCTGCTCTGAACATTCATGTACAAGTTTTTATATGGGCATGTGTTTGTTTCTTCAAAGATTTTATTTATGCATACAAGATCTGGGGTGTAGGCCAGAGGTGCGGGGGTGAGAGGATTCACCAGAGACAGAGTGGGGAGACAGGCAGACCTACTGAAATACACTTTAACTGCTGTGCCACCAGGGAGGCCCCTTGGCATGTGTTTTCACGTGAATAAATACCTAGGAGAGGAACTGTTGATAACGGTAATTCTGTTTAACTTTTTGAGGAAATATCAAGTTGTTTTCCAAAGTGGTTGCATTAATTTATATTTTCACCAGCAGTGTATGAGGATTCCAACTTTTCCACATCCTTGCCAACATTATTTACTGTCTGTTTTTTTTAATCATAGACATCTTAGTGGTACCTCATTGTGGTTCTGATTTGTAGTTCCCTAATGACTAAAGATGCTTATTGACCATATATATCTCTTCATTTTAGAAATGTCTATTCAAATCCTTTCCTTATTTTTATTTTTTATTTATTTATTTATATAAGCACTGGGTACAGTCAGAAGTGCGGGAGGGTGAGAGAATTCACCAGAGCCAGAGCAGGGAGCAGAGCAGGAAGAAGGACCAAAGTACATGGCTGAGGGGAGCAGCGGGTGGCAGGAGAGGTCTGCGCGCCATGTGGGACCCTCCTCCGGTGGCCATGTGGGACCCTCCTCCGGTGGCCGGGGAGCAGCCGGGGATCAAACCAGCGCTGCAGAGGCTGTGGGCAGCTTCACAACCCAGCGCTCAACCGCTGCGCCACCGGGGAGGCCCCCTTTCCTTATTTTTAAAATAGGGTAATTGTCTTTATTGTCCACAGTTCTTTATATATTAAACATCAGTTGCTTGACAGATATATGACTTGCAAATATTGTCAGATACTTTTTACGTACTAATAATCGTGCTTTTTCTCTCCTTTAATATGGTGTATTATTTTTTAATTTTTTTTTATGATGAACCACCCCTGCATTCCTAGAAAGAATCCTCTTTCTTAGTCTTGGAATATAAATCCTTCTTGATGTCACTGGAGTTGCTTTACTAGCATTTTGTTGCCTATATTCACGAGGGATATTGGGCCACAGTTTTCTTGTGATATCTCTGTCTTGTTTTGGTATGTCTTTTTAGGACAAATTGGAAAGTGTTCTCTCCTATTTTTTGGAAGAGTTTGTGAAGGACCTATATTAATTCTTTTAAAATATTTGATAGAATTCACTGGTGAAGCCACCTGGGCCTGGGCTTTTCTTTATGGGCTTTTTTTTTTTTTTTTTAAATTAGTGATTCAGTTTCTTATAGTTCTATTCAGATTTTGATTTTTTAATCCATTGGTTATTTAGGAGTATGTTGTTTTTTGATTTTCCTAAATTTCCTTCTGTTTTTGACTCCTAATTTCTTTCCATTGTGGTCAGAGAGCATATCATGATTTCAACACTTTTAAATTCATTGAGACTTGTTTTATGGCCTCATCTGTAGTCTATCCTAGGTAATGTTTTATGTGTGATTGAGAAGAATATGTATTATCCTATCCAAGTGATAACAAGGCCTGCTTAGCTAGCCCTCCTTAGCTTCTGAGATCAGATGTTTGATCAAGGTCATATGGCCATTGACAAGAATGTGTATTCTGCTCTTGTTAAGGGGAATGTTCTAGAGGTGTTTGTTAAGAGGTCTAGTTATTTATAGTGTTGGTCAAGTCTTCTATTTCTTGTTCTATCTAGTTTTCTATCCCTAATCAAATTTTTTATCCAAATGACAACAATAAAGATCACAAGTATGCACTCCCTAACCTAACAGAATTTTTTTTTAAAGATTTATTTATTTATATAAACACTGGGTACAGTCAGAGGCGCGAGAGGGTGATCTCGAGAATTCGCCAGAGCGGAGAGCAGAACAGGCAGACTGATGAAGTACACTGCTGAGGGGAGCAGCGGGCAGCAGGAGAGGTCTGCACGCCATGTGGGACCCTCGTCCGGTGGCCGGGGATTGAACCGGCGTTGCAGAGGCTGCAGGCAGCTTCGCAACCCAGCGCTCAACCACTGCGCCACTGGGGAGGCCCCCTAACAGAATATTATACACTCCTGTTTTGCAGGACTCTTGGCCTAAGAATGCTGTGGAGTTAAGCAATGTCTTCTCAGGCTTCTTTAACAGAAATTAAAATAGAAAAAATAGGAATCAAAAACAGAAGTTGATACTCTACTACTTGAACATTTTAATTTTGCTATTAGCATCTCCTGAAAAACTGAACTTATTCATGCTCCTCCTTCAGTAAATGTTCTAAGTATATTGAGAGATCACTGGACATAGGAGTTTTATGACTAGAGTAGCTGACAAACAAGTTGAAGTCTGTAATGTCAGACTCTTTGCTTCCAGCCATTCCTCAATGTAAACTTCACTATATGATTACAGAAGGTTTTCACAGGCAAGGGAAATCTACACCACTGTGAACTTGAGTCTGGTCAAGTCAATGGTTAATGGAAGGAAAATAAGAACACAGTTCCTCCAAGATATTTAAGCTGCAACTTGGTTTCTCAAGGATTAGCCAATCTGCTGGGCAGTTTTTTCTACCAGTGAAGCCCTTAACCCACAGACTGCCACCCAATAACCTGGGTAAGGGAGAAGGATGAATGAACTGAGCTTATTCCTTCCTCCTTTTTATTCTTAAAAGATCCCAAATCCGGGCTTCCCTGGTGGCACAGCAGGTTGAGGCTGCGCTGTGAAGCTGTCCGCAGCCTCTGCAGTGCCCATTTGATTCCCAGCTGGCCAGGGAGATTCCCACATGGTGCCGCAGACCTCTCCTGTCTCGCCCACTACTCCCCTCAGCAGTGTATTTCGGTCCTTCTGCCTGTTCTGCTCCCTGCTCTGTCTCTGGTGAATTCTCTCACCCTCCCATGCCTCTGGCCTGTACCCAAGTGCTTGTATAAATAAGTAAATCTTTAAAAAAAAAAAAAATCCCAAATCCTACAAGAAACATCCTTTCCTGCCATTTCCACTCAGATAATTTAAGCAGCATAGGTCTGAGAGAAATTAAATGTTTCAAGTATTTCTATCATTGGTTAACAATAATGCAATGCACTTTTCAAATCTTGCCCTATTTTCTTCTAGTAGTTACCCCATTATTCATCCTTTGATAGCCTAACTCAAAAGCCACTTCGTTCACAAAACCCCCAACCCTCTCTTTCCCCGCCAGAATTTACAATTCTTCATGTGCAAAGCCTAGTAATGACACCTATTTCACAGTGATTCTATTTACTTGGGTACTGTGAAACAAAGAAAGCATCATGCAACAGGAAAATGTGAACTCTGAAACCAGGTAAATTCCAACTCAAACTCTGCCTCCATGACTGAAGTAGGCCATTAAGGATAAGTAATCACATAAAGCCCTGAGCACTTGTTAATATGAATGTCTTCCATCTATTCTTACCACCTTGCCCTCTGAGGACAAAATCATTTTGTCATCTTTACTTGCATTCTGTCATATTCATCATTAGCACCAGTATCATAATAAAATTAGAAAATGTTTACTCATTATGTGTCAGTACTGATCAAAACACATTACAGTATATATTAACTCAATACTTAAAAACCCTCAAGTAAATATTATTATTATCCTTATTTTATAGATAAGGAAACTGGGCAGAGAAAGGTAAAATAAAATATATCTGGCACCAAAGCTTGCTCTCATAATCATTGTACTATACCTCCACTCTAAGTGGGGTGTTTGTTAATGGAGGCGTTTGCCTTCTTAAAAGGAATATATACAACACAGGTAAAGTATGACTGGGCATGATTAGTTGTCCCCAGAACTTCATTTTCTATTAAGAGAAAAATAAGCTTTTCCAAACTAAGTCTTAAAATCAACTTACAGAAAATACATTTTCTATCATCCAAACAGAATATTATTTAAGTACAAATTTTAGAAGTTTTTCTTCTGAAGTAAAAAAATTGCTATTTAATCAAGCCTTCCTTGATCAGACCGTGAAGACTAAGATATGCAAGAGACTATTAAAGAATTAAGGGATCTTTTCAATTGAAGATCTCACATTACTTTTCACAAATACCTGAAAGCCAACAGCAATGTTGCAGGGTCTAAACTGCTTACCCATTTAAATTTAAATCCCCCAAATAATTTCAGATAGCACTTCACTTCTCCAAAGGTAACTCTTTTCTTTATAAAAATGTATAGCCATGGGGGCCTCCCCGGTGGCGCAGCGGTTGAGCGCTGGGTTGCAAAGCTGCCCACGGCCTCTGCAGCACTGGTTCCATCCCAGGCTGCTCCCCGGCCACCGGAGGAGGGTCCCGCATGGCGCGCGGACCTCTCCTGCCGCCCGCTGCTCCCCTCAGCAATGTGCTTAGGTCCTTCTGCCTGCTCTGCTCCCCGCTCTGGCTCTGGTGAATTCTCTCACCCTCCTGCGCATCTGACTGTGCCCAGTGCTTGTATAAATAAATAAATAAATCTTTAAAAAAAAAAAAAAACTGTAAAAAAAAAATGTATAGCCATTATTATATTTTAACTAATTATTATATTTTAACTAATTTGATCTGAATTTTATGAGGGGTTGATTTTCTATCAGTGAGTGAGAAGTTTTCAAAAGGCCATGTCCCCAGAGAAGACTTACACAACAGAGCAAGCATAGCATCCTTTCTTGCTACTTTCCCGAATTAAAAATGCACCGTCAGGTTTCCCATAAAGCAAGTCCTCTGCTTGTACTCGATTGATATCCTCAACAAACCAAGTTTTCTCATCATAATGGGGCAAGTTTTCATCTTCCTCATTGATGAAATAGGTCCTTAAAAAAAAATTAAAATATTTAATAATCAGGTAACATCTCTAAAAGCAAATTCACAAAACTATCTTCTAATCTTTAAGCACAAAATGACAAAGTAAAATGTAAGTAGTTGCATGATTTTTTAACAACTTCGTTACTATGGTGCTGAAAGCACACAATTCACATGTCTCATTTGGTAAGTTGACACATGAATGTCTGAAGGAACAGTGCTTATGCATTCAGGTTTCATGTTGGGCAGGTCTCTGAATTCAAGCACCTAGAGAGTATTCTTCAGGCAATTCAATTCAAAAGAGATGCAAAGTTCTTGAATCAATGTCCTCAAGTGATATAAGAGCCAGCACTTAACATATTATATAAAGAAAGTCCATGTCTTATATTAGGAACAAGGCCCTCTGATAGAAAGGTACACAGAGAACTTACTCATCAGCATCCTCATTCTTGATTCCAAGCCAGGCATTCAGGCGCTTCTGTCTTACTCCTTTGTGATTGAGCCATCTGCCGGAAGGAAGACAGTACTGTAAGTATCTGCAAACACTGCCTGGGCAAATTAGACATGTTCAAGTCAGCCAAACTCCCAGAGTCCAAGAACCTCTTATTTTTCCCAGCCCCACTAAGAGTGGCCTGAGATTTACCCATGTTAGTCTATATTACTTTTCCTTCAACTTTCTGCAAAAAGCAGAAGTGCAAGGAGCTAATTGAAATTAGGTACTTCTCTCACTTCATTTTCCTTTTCCAGGTTACACTACCACAAGTATATAACTTGTGCTCAAACATGTGGGACATTTGTTTATGAAATCATTGGCTAGGTGAGCGTGGCATCATATTTACAATCTCTGCTAAGCCAGAGGACCCATTTCCTGTATGGCCTATTGCATTGAGTTTAAAATTCTAAAACAGAATTTCAAAGTCTGTTTTTGTACCTAAGCAAGTCACAAGAAATTCAGAATGGTAATCTGAGTAATTTCATCACTAGGTAAAGCACAGTATCTTAAAATGTATCAACATTTTACATATAAAATGATATAAACCATTACATTTAGTTCCACTGAGATGAATGACAGTCTAAAATTTGAGTAACGCATACAAACTTTCATTCATCACCATCCCCCAAGCAAGGCTTCTGATCATTCAGGTCTCAAATAGACATTTCCTCAAGGAGGACAACCCTAATTGTCCCAACTAAGGCAGGTCCCCATTTACTCTCTAGACTTTAGCTTATTCTATCACCTTCACAGCAGTTGCCTGATATTCATTATATTTCCACTTGTTTGTCTTTCTCACTAAAATGTAAGCTACTTTAAAGAAAGGAGCATGTCCTGTTCACAGCTATATTGTGAATAAGGTAAACAGTGCCAGCACACAGTCAATAAATATTTGCAGATGGGCTGCTTTTAACAAAATCTCCACGATCCTCTTGTATCTATCTGACCTTGAGGACACTAGACAACTTGGCATCACACCTAATTTTGAAGTTCTTTTAGAAAGATTTCATTGCCTTTTCAGTAATGCTTGCCCTTCGGTTAACCAGATTTTCATTTTTTTATGCTTAGTGATAGTGAAGCTGGAAAGCAACACGTGATCTTGATAAAATTTATTTAGTACAAACTGCCTTCTACACCATCACGTCTCTTAGCAAAATATTATCTTCTAAATTTCTTATCATCCAAAAATTTCCATCCTTTTTATTGTTGTCACTGTTACATATCTTTGTTGAAGAGATTACAAATTTAAAAATTTACAGTGACTACAGTAGTAAAAAGTTCAGGATAATGACTCTAACTGAAACAAAATACGTAGCACACTATGTAATCTATGGGAGTAGTATTTTTCTTGTTTATTTTTTTTATAATGAGATCACTAAGGTATAAACATGCTGGTCCAAAACCACACAACTAGTAACAAAACGAGAGAGTGTATGTTGGGTCCTTGAATGCTTTGCCTTAGATTTCTTCTTTAATGTCCTGCTTTTACATGTGATTTAAGCATTACTCAACCCCTTCTGGTTGTATAATTCTTCTAATGTAATTCTCTATATTTTGGAAGATTATTATGTACAAAAATTGCACTGATTTTGTGACTACAGGCATGCCACTTGATTGATTAAACTGTAAGAATAAAATTTTTATTTTACTGTGCAATGGACTTGTTCCTCCAACACCAGGAAATGCCCTCTTATTTAAAATGTTCATTTGTTTCAATAGATCATTTCCTTAAGATTTTGCTCCTGTGAAAATGTAGTTTATCCCTGATAATCTTTCTGAACTGATGCTGAACTGAACTGATATTGAACTGTTACATATACATTCTCTGTGCTTTCTATTAACAGAAAGGAGCAAAGCTTCCTATTCTGATGGGTATACTTAGATATAATCTTATTCTATACTTTTCTGAGGTGAAAGAATGAACACTTCTATCCTGTGGCAGATCTGGAAACACTCCCAATATTAAAACCCCTAATACAGGTAGAAATTCCAAAGTCAAGTGTCAATTTACAATGAGTAGGCATAGTAGACTTTTTTAGATACCTGGAAATGGGATGCTGCTATAACAAATACCTAAAAAATGCAGAAGCAGATTTGGAATTAGGCAATGGGTAGAAGTCGGGAAAAAGTTTTCTTAAAGAAAAGGATCTTTCGGGCCTCCCCGGTGGCGTGGCGGTTGAGCGTTGGGTTGCGAAGCTGCCCGCGGCCTCTGCGGCGCCGGTTCGATCCCCGGCTGCTCCCCTGCCACCGGAGGAGGGTCCCACATGGCGCGCAGACCTCTCCTGCCGCCCACTGCTCCCCTCAGCAGTGTACCTCGGTCCTTCTGCCTGCTCTGCTCCCCGCTCTGGCTCTGGTGAATTCTCTCACCCTCCCGTGCTTCTGACTGTACCCAGTGCATGTATAAACAAAACAAACAAACAAACAAACAAATAAATAAAAAACATGCCTCAAAAAAAAAAAGAAAAAGAAAAGGATCTTTCCTTTATTAGAAAGATAAGCATTCTGAGTAAAAGGCTTGAAATGAACAAACTGTGCCACATTTTCAACTAATTTCTTTTAATCACAGACCTCTTTAAGTTGAACCTCCCTTTTTGCTACAAGAAATCTTAGTATATCCAGGAAAGACCAGGAGAAAAAGAATTTTGGGGGCCACTCTCCATGGTATCTGCCCTTCTGACACAGCCAACTTTTACAATCTCCCAAAAATCCATTTCAAATACTATTGTATAATTTCTGAGTCCTTCAACATCTATTAACAATGCCAGAAACTGACATTTAAAAATGATTTTGGGCCTCCCTGGTGGCGCAAAGGGTTAACACGCAACCTATGAAGCTATCTGCAGCCCCTGCAGCATGAATTCGATCCCCAGCCAGGGAGCTACCCACATGACACAGCAGGCTCTCCTGACTTCCCTGGTGCTCCCCTTAGCAGTGTAGTTTAATCTGCCTGTTCTGTTCCCCACTTTGTCTCTGGTGAATCCTCTCACCCCCCACACTTCTGGCCTGTACCCCAGTTCTTGTATGCATAAAATAAATCTTAAAAAAAAATAAAAATGATTTTGAAAAAGAACAATTCCAATAAATATGTTAATTCATATTTAACTTATTGTAGTTGAATAATGCTTAGATCACATGTAAAAGCAGTACATTGTAGAAGAAAAATCTGAGGCAAAGCATTCAAGGACCTAACATCCAATCTCTTGTTCTGTTACTAGTTGTGTGGTTTTGGACCAGCCTCTCTTTGTACCTTAGTGTTCTCATCTTTAAAAAAAATAAATAAAAATAAACAAGAAAAATACTACTCCCATACATTACACTGAAGATCTCTTAAGAACAAAAGAAAAGGGCCTCCCCGGTGGTGCAGCGGTTGAGCGATGGGTTGCCCCACAGCCTCTGCAGCACCGGTTCGATCCCCGGCTGCTCCCCGGCCAACGGAGGAGGGTCCCACGTGGCGCGCAGACCTCTCCTGCAGCCCGCTGCTCCCCTTGATAGTGTACTTCGGTCCTTCTGCCTGCTCTGCTCCCCGTTCTGGCTCTGGTGAATTCTCTCACCCTCCCATGTTTCTGACTGTACCCAGTGCTTGTGTAAATAAATAAATCTTTAAAAAAAAAAAGCTTTAAAAAAAAAAAGAATAAAAGAAAAAATATAGTTGGTATTAGCATATCTTTACCTATTCCACTAGCAAGTAGGAAAAAATATGCAAATATACAATTTGCATACTTACATTTATGTAAACTGATGTAAATGAGCTGTGTTTCTAATGGTCTAACTATAATTACCCTTATAACCCCACTACTATCCTTTAAGAGGGAAGAGTTTGTTTTTCAATCCAAGAAAGGATTAAGCTAAGCAGTCTCCGAAGAGGGGGATTGGAAAAGGTACTTTGAAACTGGAGCAGTAGTCCTAGAGAATTTATGCCTCTCTAGTTGAGATTATTTCCCCTTCAAAAAAAATTACCTTAAATTTCCCTCTACTGAAACTCACCTGTTCTAATCTATAGCTCACATCATGTCTCTTCTCCCTTACTCACACAAAGAAATCCTAAAGTCTATGGAAAACTCAGGTCTTTGCTCTGTCTTCTCCTGCTAGGAGTTTGAACTGATTTGTGTTACAAGCACAAAAGCATAAACACATTTCCTAACAGTCTATTCATTACCCAGAACTAAAATCTAAAATATCTTCCTTTCTTATGGATTTGCTCCTTCTATGAAACAATCATTTATTCGTGTAAAAATCTAATCCAAACAACTTATTCTGATAACATAGCCTTCAATTTGTATTTGAATAATACCTCTATATTTAGTCAAATCAAATACTTTTCCCTAATAGTTAAGAGTTGGGTTTTACTCCTCAGGTCAAATTATCTTTCATGCCTGCTATAACACATTTCTATTATTTAAATACAGGATTTCTTTTCTTAAATATAAAAACCCTTAATAGATTGTTCTGTATATGTATTTGTAATCCCCCATTATTAGTTTCCTTCTCTCCGCCCCGAAGGGTAATTTCTATTTCTATGGTTCTACCATATAACCAACAATTCTGGTTTTTGTGTTTCAGGCAAACATTAAACTGTACTTTTTAAGCTATATCACTTTGCTCATACCACAGCCACTTTCTGAGATTTCCAAAGCATCTGAATAGATTTGAGTCCCTCATCTGGTTAGCCATACCCACTGACTTTTGGTAAACTCTGGTACTCTCTACTACTAACAAACAGGATTGCCTTTTTAAGTTCTTAAATTGAAATCTCTTCCTCTACCTCTAATGTCTTCAATACTGTTAGTGATCTGGTACTGGTGTTTCCCTCCCACACAGACCCAGACTACTTACACAAGATGCTGATCTCGGATTTTGCGCAGCTGGATCAGGTCAGGTTTGATACTATTCATTTTTTTATCTATTTCCCGGTTATCCAAAGCTTGTTTCTTCAAATCCTGCTCTAGGCGCATTTTGCTATCATGAATCTCACCCAGACGTGACTTCAATTTGTCATAATTCATCATAATTCTGTGAAAATATTTGACATATTTAAGCTAAAATAGGAACTAAGCAGAAGCATTCTATAGTGTGAGTATATTCCAAGTATCTTAAGTGTGGTGAACATCTGTTGGTTTTGCCTGGCCCGGTATCCATTCCCATTCTCTGGTAATAGCACCCCTGATGTTTGCTGTTGGTAAGGGTTCCCTGCCCCCATCTCAGATTCTTGGGTTGACATCCACACAATCACAATGAAAATATTCTATTCCATCCCATCCCTACCCTCAGGTCACAGTGACTGGATCAGAAATGAAACAATAATAATAATACCTGAACTGATCTAGTGAGAGTAAATTCTAGAACTTTTTCTAGAACTCTTGTAAACAAATTCTCTCCACTGTGATTGCTAAACTATGAATATGCAATTCCAGGGCCATGAATGAACAAATAAAGCTGTTTGTATAATATTTAACAGGTAGTACAATATAGCAGTTAAAAGCTATAGATTTGTAGTCAACCTGTCTCAAGTCTAAATCTCTGTCCTGCCACTTACTGTGTGGGTAGTTAAGTTTTAAGTTCTCTGTGCCTTCATTTCCTAATCTGTTAAAATAGGTACCTACAGTAGTATCTCAGTTATTATAATTAAATATGGTAATACAGGTAAAAGGACTAGAACAGTGCCTGGCATCCTCATAAACATTTGGTAGGTGATAGCTACAAGCCTTTCAGTTTTACCCTAAAACCTTTTAGGTAACAACTATCCACATTATTCATTTGTCTCTCAATAACAATGATTTTATGTTACTATTATCATATGCTACTTTATCTACCTTTGCAACTAAACTATAAGTTTTTTCCTATTCATTAATAATAATTGCCATCTGGGCCTCCCCTGTGGCGCAGCAGTTGAGCGCTGGGTTGCGAAGCTGCCTGCAGCCTCTGCAGTGCCGGTTCGATCCCTGGCTGTTCCCCGGCCACCAGAGGAGGGTTCCACATGGCGTGCAGACCTCTCCTGCCACCCACTGCTCCCCTCAGCAGTGTGCTTCGGTCCTTCTGCCTGCTCTACTCCCCGCTCTGGCTCTGGTGAATTCTCTCACCCTCCCACGCTTCTGACTGTACCCAGTGCTTGTATAAATAAATAAATAATTCTTTAAAAAATAAAAATAAACTAATAATTGCCATCTGGACCTCCCTGGTGGCACAAGGGGTTAAGATGCAACCTGTGAAACTGTCTGCAACCGCTGCAACACGAGTTCGATCCCCAGCCCCAGAGCTACCCACATGGAACAGCAGACTTCTCCTGACTCGCCCGCTGCTCCCCTCAGCAGTATATTTCAGTCAGTCTGCCTGTTCCGTTCCCCACTCTGTCTCTGGTGAATCCTCTCACCACCCCCCACACTTCTGGCCTGTACCCCAGTTCTTGTATGCATAAATAAATAGATATTTAAATAATAATAATAATTGCCATCTATTGAGACATCTGAAGACTAACTGCCATTTGTTGATGCCATGTACCAAGTGTATGAGTGTACACACATATGAATAGGTAAATCCCTTAATTCTCTCAGCACTTCAACAAGATATTACCGATAATTTAAGAAACTCCCAAAATCACACAGCTAGTAAGTGGTAAATATGGAATTCAAGCCTAAGGTTTTAACCACTAGACTACATTGTCTCACAGCACTTAACCCTATACTTACGCACATAACTTAGAGCTGATATGAGAAATAATTTTGCTTTTCCCTGGCATGATTAATTTTTCTTTATTATCCACTTTTTCACTCCTCAAAACAGTTACCTGACTCAGTCTTCTAAAACTCCCTAAATTTGCTTTGATCCAGGCTTCCAATTCCTTTGAGTTGCCAGATTCAAGACTTTTCGTACTGATCACTTTCTCTGAGTAAACTTATTCTTAGCATCTACCCTCAACTATACACTTAATCTTCCCAAATCCTTTCTGTACCTTGAATTCCAAATCCAAATAACCAGCTGCCTGTCTCCTGGACAACTCCTTTTGGATTTTCACAGGAACCTCAAATCATTGGCTCCAATGTTGAACGCTCATCATATACTTCCTATTTTGGTAAATAATTCATCCTTTAATCACTCATATCAGAAATCTAGGAGTAAATGCTGACTTCTCCCATGACTATCATGTGGTTAGGCATTAAGTCCTCAGTTTCCTATAAACTCCTCTTCCTGTCCTGTCATTGCTCTGGTTCAGGGCCTCATCATCTTTTTGCCTGATAACCACAAAGACTGCAGTGACCTGCAACAGTCAGGGTGATTCTTCCTGTCCATGGTCTTATTCTACTCAATTTATTCTATCAAAGTTGATTTTCAGTTCAACAAATATTCAGTGAGCATCCATTATGTGTTATCAGGCACCATAATAGGTGCTGGAACTAGCAGGGAAAATAAGCCACAGTCTTTACTCTCAACAAACTCATAGTTTTAGTGGGTATGACATTCGGTAAATGTTACAGTAGGGATCAGGACAAGATGCTGTAGAGGTATAGACCAAAAAACCCCAAACCACTTTAGAGAATCAGGAGTGATTTTCTTGGAAAAGTCATGTCTAAGCTGAGTCCTAAGTGATGAGCAGGAGTTAACAATTTAGGAGGATGGGGTGGGGGGAATGCAGAAGAGAGGAGGTTCAGTTTGGTGCCGTTTGCAGAAACAGTTAAGTGGTTCCATATGGCATGACTATGAAGTTTGAGGAGATAAAAGCAGACAAAACAGAGATCATAAGGGAAGGAAAGAAGTCTTGTTTCACTGGTGCACCTGGAGTTATTAGGTAGATTTACCGTTCAATTTCTTTTTCATTCCCCTCTCTGCGAAATCGCTCAATATATTCTTTGCTATGTTGTTCCTGTGTGTGACACTGCTCTTCAAATATTTTAATTGTTTCATTAAAAGCTTCAATTGCAGTTCTCTTCATCTGTATTTCCTATAGGAGAGGAAAAAGAAAGACAAATCTTATTATCTATTTTTGTAACCTTGATCTTAAAACAAACCATAATTGTAGTTACAATTCCATTTCAGACTGAATTAAAAGGCTAAAATCTTTACTGAATTCCTACCTCTATTACTTAATACAGAATATATTTGAACCCAAAAGAAGAGAAAAATACCTATTATCTGAAATATAGCTGAGAACCACTGGAAGACCACTTAGTTTGCTAAGGAATTTACCCTGAAAGCCTTGAAAACAAAGATAAACTCTGCCTTTATACCTACTGAAGTGCTGTTCCCAAAAAGTGCTGAGGGAGCAGATGTAGCAGAAGAGTCCATGCACCAATGTGCAAAACTTATTTCTAGAACAACCCTGTAAAGTCTATTTATTCTTACTTTCATTTCTAAAGGATGCAGTTTTCCAAACAGATTCATCAGTAGATTAATCTGATCAGAAGCAGACAGCAGAAGAGGAAGAGTACCTGCTAAAATCAGATACACAAAGACCACTAAGATGAAAAACCAAAAACTCCAGCAGGGTAAATCCAGCAGGGTAAGCCATTCAGCACCAGGATAAACAGTCCCATATATTTTGATGAGATATGAGACTATTAGTAAGAGAGTAGTATTTGAATCACAGTTTCCCTAAAATCTTCAGAGGTTAAATGTTATTCATTTTACTTTAGAAAGCCAAGATATACATATAAAGTTCTAGAAAGATTACTATCCTGAATGTTTACCACTTAAAAAGTTTTAGTCCTGATAGTATATAATTCCTCAACTACCCAGTACCGATTAATTTCAACAAATGATTATTGAGAATCCACTATCTGAAAAGTACCATGTGGTGATAAAGAGACTCATAAAATAGGGAGACTGCCCTTCAGGATTCAATATACACATGTGAAATAGATTCTAAACTATGATAAGGTTTGTTTTCATATCATGGTGAGGCAATCAAGGGGACCAAATTACTTACTGCTTTACAGAGGAGGCAACGTATGAACTAGGTCATAAAGACTGGGGCAGGGGAAGAAAATGGGAGATGTTCAGCAATCATTAATTGCTCAAAAGGGTGAGAACATAAAAGGATTAGCAGATAACGGAGGCTAGAACTTTGTGATATTCCATATAGTTGAGGTTACATCATGTATATCAGATAGGATTATAAATTTATTGGAATGCCAATATCTAAATATTTAGCTATGGTTAGAGGACACAGTCAAGATGGCAACAATGTCTGGACTGGGTGCAGAGGAAGGACTTCCACTGGACAGCATCAATGGTGCTGCAGATGACAGTTCATGATGTTACAAATCGAGGTAAGAATGAGGACCTGGAAAGAGATGAGAAGGTGTCTCTGCGTGGGGAAGAAGTTGCTCAGTACGGGGGCATATATAAGGTTAGTCGAGAACCATGGAAGAAACAGTCTCCATATCTGACGATCTCCCATATCTGAGATGGGCTTTGCTAGAATTGTTAAGTGCGGTTATGGCTGGGTTGTGAGGTCAGCAATGCTGGTGCTGAATGAGCAAAAGAGGGAGCAGTAGGAAGCAAACTAAGAACTATAAAAGGAGCTTAGATCATATAACATCCTATAGGCTACTGTTAGGGCTTTAGTTTTTACTGCATAAGATGGTGAGACACAAGAGGGTTTTGAGTAGAATTATATCTATCTTGTGTTTTAAAAAGTTCATTATAGCTGTTGGACTGAGATGAGACCATTCAAAGTGGGAGAGGTAAAAGTAGAAAGAACAGTTGGAAGACTATATTTATTTTTATTTTTATATAGCACTACATCAACAACTCTACCAGCCTTTGCTAGTGCACATGGAAAGTTTACCAAGATAAGGCAAGTGCTATGTCATCAGTCAATAAATTTCAAAAGAATATATAATCTTAAAGAATATGTTCACCTACTACAACAAAAGTAAACCACAAATAAATAATATAATATCTGTGAAAGTCCCAAATATTTAGAAATTAAACAATGCATGTGCCAAAGAATAAATCACAAGGGAAACAAGAAGATAATTAAAGCCAAATAATAAAAATACAGTATAACAAGACTTGTAAGATGTATTTTTAGTGTTACTTAGAAGGAAATTTGGGCCTCCCTGGTGGCGCAGGCAGTTAAGCGCCACACTGTGAAGCTGTCTGCAGCCTCTGCAGCGCGGGTTCGATCCCAGCCAGCCGGCGAGAATCCCACATGGCGAAGCAGACCTCTCCTGTCTTGCCCACTGCCCCCCTCAGCAGTGCATTTCGTCAGTCTGCCTGCTCTGTTCCCCACTCTGTCTCTGGTGAATCCTCTCACCCTCCCACGCATCTGTCCTATACCCTGGTTCTTGTATAAAAATAAAAATAAATCTTTAAAAAAATTTTTAAAATTTAAAATAAGAGGGAAATTTATGTTTTTCAATGGTTATATTAGAAATGTTTTAAAACTAATGAACAAAATTTCCATCTTAAGAAGCTATAAGATGAATAAATTAATTTGAAAGAAAGCAAGAGAAAGATTATAAAAACCCATGAAATACAAAAAAAACATTAGACAAAATTATTATCTACTAGAAAGGACTCAGGTTACTTTTACACTGAGAATTCACTTTGAATTTAATAGAATGAACTAATGTTACTGTAGTGTGGATTAATCAACATACACTAACGCAACTAATAAGGTGTTTAATGTATAATCTATGTTTCAAAAGAAGTACAGGAGATATCCAGTTACATATATTTTCCTTTTTTTTGAATATTTATTTTTCATGTGGAGGAACTGGGGTGTAAGCCAGAGGCTGGGGGGCAGGATTCACCAGAGACAGAGTGGGGAGCAGCACAGGTGGATTTACTGAAACACACTGCTAAGGGGTGCAGCAGGCAAGACAGCAAAGGTCCATTGCACCCCCCGGCGGGATCAATGGTGATAGCACTGAGATTTAACCCCTAGGCCATTAGGGAGGCCCCAACATGTATTTTCTTGGTCACTAATTCAAATACTTAAGTATATCCGTAACCAGTAAAAGTGATTTATGAATGAGAAAGAGATTTATGTGACCCAAGTCTCAAAAAGGCTGTTTAAAACATTAAGATAGGGCCTCCCTGGTGGCGTAGGGGGTTAAGTCTCAGTGCTATCACTGCTATAGTCTGAGTTTGATCCCCAGCCAGGGAACTAACCTACATATGGCACAGCAGACCTTTCCTGGCTTGCCATCTGCTCTCCTCAGCAGTGTATTAAAGTGGATCTGTCCGTTCTCTCCCTACTCTGTCTCTGCTGAACCCTCTCACCCCCACACTTCTGGCCTGCACCCCAGTTCTTCTATGCAAAATAAATTAATAAAAATCTTTGAAACATTAAGATAGCTAAAGATTGATAGACAAATTATATAAAATCCAGTATAACTATAAAATTGCATACTTACTGGCCTACCCAACAAAAATATACTAACCTGGGATGTTCTGGTATATTCTTCATATAGCCTATCATACTCTTTGCTCTTTTCCTGATACTGACAGTGGTACTCTTGCAATTTTTTGCCTACTGCATCAATGTTATCTTCTTTTACCAACTGATCCTTTAATAAAAAACAAAAATAAAGAAAATTAACAATTTGACTCATGAATTTTTCCACATGTATTTATTTTGAAATTGTCTTTCTACTGTAGCTTTGAGCCACTGTATTAAGCATACAAAAGTACTAAATCTTTTTATTAACACTAAGATCAATCTTTAGATAACATCAAAATAGTTACTTTATAAATTAAGAAATGAAGTATAAATAGGAAATATAAACAGAAATATTTTCATATAAGCTTAATAAATACATGCAATGAGCTGTTAAGGAACAGTTAGCCCAAAGTCCAAAAACATGTTAAACATTTATTTTTTAACTGATAAGCTTGGTAAATTAGAATCAAATGATGTCGTTAAACAATGACTTGCTAAAGAGCTAATCATACCTGTTGGTATCTGGATACAGGGTACATCAACTTCACATCAAGTTTGGGATTGTACTGAGCAAGTGATTCATGATGATAGTGGTTAATGAGCTCCACCACAGAATTAAATGTCAGAGGATCAGAAAAGCCATATTTACCATCTCGATGATAGATCTTTATTAACTTATTATTGCCTCCTTTCCTGTGAACAACAAGACAACAACTATAGATTTCCCCCCAAACTCTACTGAAGTATTGTTTTCATACTGAGATCTGAAAGCCTGGTATCATATTAATAAGCAAGTTTTACCAAGTTAATGAGGATAGAAGGGGTGAGAAGGCCTATATAATTGTGTGTGTAAACATATATATATATATATATATAATTTAAAACTATTTCTTTTGTCTATAAAATAAATATCTTGGTTTCTGAAGGTCTTGCCAGCTGACCTACAGTACCAACAAATTTAGCAAAAGTAATCACTTAAGAAAAATAACTTATAGAAGTAAACTGTGTCTTTTGTTTTCTGAATAGATTTCCTAATTTGAATTTTACCAATTTTTTTTTCAGGAAGAATAAAGGCAACCTCTCTGGGAACATAGTGTAGGTAAGTCATCACATGTGTGTTCGAAAGGAAGCAGAAGCCATCTCTCTACGAAGGGGGATGAGAAACATTTGTCTCTAAACAAATCACCTAGACACTCAAGGTTTTATTGTTAATATATAATTAATTCCTTGAATGATTTATAACTGAGTAATGTAGCACTTGACAATATTTTGTCTTTTATATTTGCTTGTAATTCTTGGAAGCAACTTTCTTTATGCCATCACAATATGTAAGTGAGTCAACTGTTTTATAAAGTATAGCCATTTATATTAGATGGATATAATCTTATGTTTGAATAGTTTAGAATATTTTTGATTATTGAGTCATATAGAGAGGTTCCTTTAAAAATAATTTATAACCAGGGCCTCCCCGGTGGCGCAGCGGTTGAGCGCTGGGTTGCGAAGCTGCCCGCAGCCTCTGCAGCGCCGGTTCGATCCCCGGCTGCTCCCCGGCCACCGGAAGAGGGTCCCATATGGCGCGCAGACCTCTCCTGCCGCACGCTGCTCCCCTCAGCAGTGTACTTTGGTCCTTCTGCCTGCTCTGCTCCCCTCTCTGGCTCTGGTGAATTCTCTCACCCTCCCACACTTCTGACTGTACCTAGTGCTTGTATAAATAAAAAAAATAAATCTTTAAAAAAAAAAAATAATAATTTATAACCAAAGCTTAAAATGGCAACATTTTTTAAGTCCCTTAAAGTATAATCTAAAACCAGCAGATTGATTCATATCATAACAAAATATTGCATCATTCCCACTCAACTCTTTTTACAGCAGCATGAAGACTTAGCATGAAAAATACACCTTGCTACCTCTTTATACCATGCTGTCACTCATGAAAAAGGTGTGGAAGGTCAAACACAATAGGTCTGAATCTATGGATGGATTTAAATAACGCTTAGAAGGTCAGTATGTAGATGGATGAAGAACTTAAGTATATGGAATGGACTTAAGCAGAGTACTAAACTAAGTGAGAGAGCTGACATAGCAAATATGTGGGGGAAAGTTTTTCAAGCAGAGAAAACAGCAAATGCAGAGTCCCTGAGGCAGAAGCACATTTAATATGTTCGAGGAACAGCAAGGACATCAGCGATGCTAGGGCTGAAAGAGCAAAAGGGAGGGCCTCCCTGGTGGCGCAGCGGTTGAGCGCTGGGTTGCGAAGCTGCCCGCAGCCTCTGCGACGCCGGTTCGATCCCTGGCTGCTCCCCGGCCACAGGAGGAGGGTCCCACATGGCGCGCAGACCTCTCCTGCCGCCCGCTGCTCCCCTCAGCAGTGTACTTCGGTCCTTCTGCCTGCTCTGCTCCCCGCTCTGACTCTGGTGAATTCTCTCACTCTCCCACGCTTCTGACTATACCCAGTGCATGTGTAAACGAACAAACAAACAAACAAATATAAATAAATAAAAACATGCCTCTTAAAAAAAAAAAAAAAAGAATTCTTTTTAAAAAAAAAAAAAAAAAGAGCAAAAGGGAGTAGTAAAAAGCAAACTAAGAAATACAAAAGGAACTTAGCTCATATAACATCCTGTTGGCCACTGGTAAGGGCTTTGGTTTTTACTGCATAAGGTGGGGAAACAAGAGGGTTTTGAGCAGAATGATATCTATCTTGTGGTTTAAAAGTTCATTATAGCTTCTGGACTGAGAAGAGACCATGCAAAGTGGAGTAAAAGTAGAAAGATCAGATGGAAGATTAATTAAATAATCCAGGCAAGAGGTTACGGCATCTTGGAAAAGAGGCGTAGCAGTGGAGATAATAAGAGATCAGGGGATTCTGAATATGTTTTGAAGAGCTGGCAGGATGTGCTGATGGCTCGCATATGGGTATGAGAGAAAAAGACAAGATAAAGATGATTTGAAGGTTTTTATCTTAAGCAATTAAAAGAACAGAATTCTCACTTATTCACTTGATGAAATGAAGAAGGGTCTATAAAAGAATAAATTTAAAGGGGAAAATCATTTTGATTTTAGACATGTTGAGATGCCTAGCAAATATCCAAGTGAAGATGATGACCTATCAACCTACTTGAAGAGTCTAAAGTTCAGGAGAAAGGTCTGGGCAAGAAATCTAAAATCAGGAGTTGTCAGTCTACAGATGTTATTTAAAGATAAGTATAGCTGAATAAGAGGTGAGATCCAAGGTCTAAATTCTGGGACATACCAATGTTTACTGGTCAGGGGATAAGAATCAACAAAGGAAACCAAGAAAGAACAATTAATGAAGTAAGAGAACTAAGAGCATGGTACCCTAAAAAACTATTTTTACACAAGCATTTCAACAAAAATGGAAGTAATCAATGGATTCAAGATCTTGGGAACTGGCAAAGAAGAGATCACTATGAGATCCTGACTAAATGGTTTCAGTGGAATGGTAAGGATGGGAGGCTAACTGGAATGGATTAAAGAGAATTAAAAAAAAAAAAAGAGGAAGAAGAAATGCCTATAGACAACTGTCTAGGGAAATAATGCTGCAAATGGGAGCAGAGAAATAGAGAAGTAACTAGAAAGAGACATAGGCCTGGATCTCAGTAGAGAAACAAAAACTGTTAAAAGAAAGGACAATCCCTGACCAGGGAGCTAACCCAAATATGGGGCAGTGGATCTCTCCTATATTGCCCGCTGTTCCCCTCACCAGTATATTTCCATAGATCCACCTGTTCTGCTCCCCACTCTGTTTCTGGCAGATCTTCTCATCCCCTGCACCTCAAGACTACATGCCAGTTCTTCTATGCAAAAATAAAGAAAGAAAAGAAAGGATAGATAGTGCCTAGGATGATATCCCTGAGTAGATTAGAAGGATGGGTTGGGATCCAGGACACAAGCAGAGAGGTAGAACCTGGACAAGAAAATGAATAATCATTCACTGGAATAGGAAAGAGGCGAGTATTTACATTCAGATAAATATGTGGATAACCATGACATTTGGAACAAAAGGGAGTTAGATATCATCTCACTGTTTGCATGCACTCAGGAAGCAACTTTTTAAAGTTGCTTTAAGGGCCTTCCCGGTGGCACAGCGGTTGAGCGCTGGGTTGCGAAGCTGCCCGCAGCCTCTGCAGCGCCGGTTCGATCCCCGGCTGCTCCCCGGCCACTGGAGGAGGGTCCCGCATGGCGCGCAGACCTCTCCTGCCACCCGCTGCTCCCCTCAGCAGTGTACTTCAGTCCTTCTGCCTGCTCTGCTCCCCTCTCTGGCTCTGGTGAATTCTCTCACCCTCCCGCGCTTCTGACTGTGCCCAGTGCTTGAATAAATAAATAAATACATAAATAAATCTTTAAGTTGCTTTAAGTTAAAGGGGGGAAGAAGAGTTGTTGATGTGAGAGAAAAAAAACATGAAATTGTCATCTAAGAAAGTGGAAGGGCAATGGTTTGTGGAAATGCAGTTAAGCTGGGCAGTACTAAAAGGCCCACTTATGATTAATAGTCAGAAATTTAAAGTATGACTGGTATGTGTGGTATATTTTTCTTCACATTTAACAGCGCAAGTATAGACAATAGATGAAAAGTTCAATTTAATAAGTGTTGGGATATACTTAGGTGGCTACTCAAGAGAAAGGAGCAAGTTTGTTGAGTATATATATTCACAGGGGTAATTTAATAATGGATCAAGGACTCTAAAGCAGAGAAAAAGGAAAATGAAGACATGATGGAACTGAAGAACAGTTAATTTTTAATTATAGTCTCTCTCTCTCTTACTATAATCTTTCTGAACAGAAGAATCATGCTATTCCTTTTGATATCCTAGCACCTGTCCCAATGCCTAGCATATAGCATATTCCTAAAGATTTGTTAACTATCCAGATTTTCTTCAATGAATACTATTTACTGATTTTTTAAAGAATTATTTATTTATGCATACAAGAACTGGGGTACAGGCCAGAGGTGCAGGGGTGAGAGGATTCACCAGAGACAGAGTGGGGAACAGAACAGACAAACTGACTGAGATACACTTCTGAAGGGAGCAGCAGGTGAGACAGGAGACGTCTACTACGCCATGTGGGTCAGCTCATGCTGCTGTGGCTGCAAACAGCTTCAAAGTGCTGCGACTTGGGCCTCCCTGGTGATACAAGGGGTTAAGATGCAACCTATGAAGCTATCCGCAGCCACTGCAGCATGAATTCGATCCCCGACCAGGGAGCAACCCACATGGCGCAGCAGACCTCTCCTGACTTGCCCGCTGCTCCTCTCGGCAATATATTTCAGTCAGTCTCCTGTTCTTTTCCCCATTCTGTCTCTGGTGAATCCTCTCATCCCTCACACCTCTGGCCTGTACCCCAGTTCTTGTATACATAAATAAATAAATCTTAAAAAAAAAAGTGCTGCAACTTAACCCCTTGAGCCACCAGGGAGGCCCTATTTACTGATTTTTTTTTTTAAAGATTTATTTATTTATGCATACAAGTACTGGGGTACAGGCCAGAGGGGTGTGTGTGGGGGGAGTGAGAGGATTCACCAGGGACAGAGTGGGGAACAGAACAGGCAGACTGACTGAAATACACTGCTAAGGGGAGCAGTGTGTGAGTCAGGAGAGGTCTGCTGCACCATGTGGGTTGCTCCCAGCCAGGGATCAAACTCATGCTGCAGTGGCTGGTGATAGCTTCATAGGTTGCGTCTTAACCCCTTGCACCATTAGAGAGGCCCCCTAATTACTGATTTTTTTAATCATTATTGAATTGACCTACTTCTTCACCCCCCTACTCTCTAAAGTCTGATTTTATAATCATTCCTTTCATTTGAGGGTTGCCAATGACTTAGCAAATTCAATCCCTGCCCCCTCTGTCTACCTGAGGCTCCAAAATCAGTGTCCTTGCATCTTCTGTTCCCTCTCCCTGGAACACTTTTCTGGTTAGCTCTTTTTAATCTTTCTGTTTTCAGACATCACATCCTCAAGGAGACCCTCCTCAACTACCTTACATTTTCTTTCTTCACATTCCCTATCATAAAACCTTATGTATTCCCTAGACAGTACTTCATAACACTGATCTCATTTCTTTTTCAGATGTTTATTTTGTCTCCCTGCCTTCACTCATGACATGTTTATCATTTCCTTTTCCTAGTACAGTTCTGAAAACATTGTAGGAACTCAAGAAATATTAAATGATAATTAAATCCTATTCTAGATTATCATTAACTCTCAATTCATATAGCCTTCTAATGCTTTACTAGTGTCTATCCATATTTATTCTTTGTGTTCAAATAATCTAATCATATAACTTCCCTGCTGAAAAAAATGCAATGGTTTCCCCTAACAACCTATACTATTAAATACAAACTCCAAATTTCAAAATTCAAGGTCCTTTTCAACATGACCCTCTTTCAACCTTCTATCCCCTACCTTTTTCTTTTTTGCAGACTTTACCTTTAACCAAATGGGGCTGCATTTCAGAACGTTTCTACAGTTTTTGGCCTCCATATCTTTGTTCCTCTTGTTACCAAATCCTGCACCCTCCTCTCCCACTTTTTATATATCCAAACCTATTCCCTTCTTCAACATAAATTGCAATGCTATTTCTTCCTTGATATAGACAGCTTTCTATATCATCTCAATAAGCTATCCATTTTCCTCCTTTGAGCCCCCAAAGCACAGTTTGAACTTCTTGTGTCATTTCAGTTTAAGTCAAAGCACTTTTCTTATATACCCCTTGCCCTTACTAGACTATGTGTTCCTTAAGACAAAAGTTTTAACTCATACTTAGGTTTTGCAGTCACTAGTACTGAGCACTGTGAATTTCTTAAATTGAATTAAGGCTATCACTTTTCTGCATGGCAAAATCTATGAAGGTGCAGCTTGATTGTCATTTCCTCTGAGAAACTTTCTCATTATTTTTCATCTATTTATTCCTTCCTTCTTTCAGATACTTACTGAATATCTCTGTCATGTCAGACCTTGTACTAGATACATGAAAACTTTAAAACATTCTTATCAATGCCCAGGAAGTGTTACATAACAAATGTAGTACATACTTACAATAGAATATTAATCAGCTTTAAAAAGAAATTCTGACATATGCTATAGTATAGATGAACCCCAGAAACAATATTCCACATGAAATCAGCCAGACACAAAAAGATAAATATTGTATGATTCTACTTACATGAGGCACCCAGAATAGTCAAATAGTCTTTCACAGAGACAGAAAGTAGAACAGTGATTACCAGGGATTGGAAGAAAGGAAGAAAAGGAAGAACTCTAATATAACACTTAGCATACTGCATGAGGTATAATACATATGTGTCTCAACTATCCATCATTACACATTTGAATTGTGAACTCTTAAGGGTAAAACCAAGTCTTTTTTTTTTTTTTTTTAAAGATTTATTTATTTATTTATACAAGCACTGGGTACAGTCAGAAGCGCGGGAGGATGAGAGAATTCACCAGAGCCAGAGCGGGGAGCAGAGCAGGCAGAAGGACCGAAGAATACGCTGCCGAGGGGAGCAGTGGGTGGCAGGAGAGATCTGCGCGCCATGTGGGACCCTCCTCCGGTGGCCGGGGAGCAGCCGGGGATCGAACCGGCGCTGCAGAGGCTGCAGGCAGCTTCGCAACCCAGCGCTCAACCGCTGCGCCACCGGGGAGGCCCTAAAACCAAGTCTTATTCACGTACATGCCCCTGGTTCTAGTACAAATTCCAGGACAAAGATAATCCTCTGAACTCTATAGTTGCACAATAATACTATAGGAAGGTATAGTATAGCATCAAAAGGAAGATACTAGCTTCCTACAACTGAAAGATCAAATGGAAAACCATCTGAAAAATGCTATCAGGAAATTCTCACATCTGGAGAAATCCAGCTGAACCATGGACTATTAAAGATCCCTGCCAGCTACAGATCACAGTGATCCTAGAGTAGGAGTCAGTGAGTAGAACCCCTGCTGGCCTTTGTTCCTAAAAAACATGGCAACTTCAAGTAAATTAACTAAGGATTTGGATTATTACATAACTTTGTTGATAAAGTAGCCTTGCGGTTTAAGGATTGACTCCCATTTTAAAAGGAGTTCTAGTGAGGGTAGAATGCTATCAAACAGCATCACATCCTACAGAGAAACCTTTTGTGAAAAGACAAGTCAATCTATGTGGCAAACTTCATTGTTGCCTTACTTTAAAAAATTGCAGGCACCTCCCCAACCTTCAACAACTACCAACCTCATTAGTCAACAGCCATCAACATCAAGACAATATCCTCCACCAGTAAAGACTACAACTTACTGAAGGCTCAGGTAATGATTAACATTTTTTAACAATAAAGTATTTCTTTAATTAAGGTATGTACATTTTTTAGCCATAATGCTATTGCACATTTAATAGACTGCCATATAGTTTAACTATAAACTTTATGTGCACTGGGAAACCAAAAAATTTGTGTGACTCATTTTATTTCAATATTCACTTAATTGCTGTAGTCTGTAACCAAATCAGCAATATCTCCAAAGTGTGCATCTAATCTAGACACTGCGATATAGCAATGATTGTTTACAAGTCTCTAATCTCCGAGAATTTATTCTAATGGTTTGAGATAGACAAGGTGGTAGAGGAGAAAATACTAAATAGTTAGTTTCCATGTAGAGAAGTAAATTGAGGCAATACTGAACGGCTACTGTTGATTGAGTGGTCAAAGAACACCTGAAGAGGTAAGCATACATGCAGCGGTCTGAATGACAAAAAAGGAACCAATTATGCAAAGATCAGAAAGAATAAACAGCTATTGTGAACAGCTGATGAAACAGCTATTACAATGGCTGTAAGGCAGGAATAACTTGTCTGAGATACAGAAAGAATTGAGGGATTGATTGTAATGGGGAGAGCGGAAACAGATGAGGGAATAAGTAGACTGAGACCTACATCTTGAGGTCAAATAGAGTAAGTGAAATAAAATCCAAATTCTTTACCTTATGTGCAGTAGGGAAGATCTGTAGAGTTCTAAATAAAGGAGCAAGCAGACTCAGATCTTAAAATGATCTGGGTGCTGTGCAGAAAATGGTCAAGAGAGGTAGGGAAAATTAGAAGTTAGAAGACACTGCGAGGTCTGATAGAAGGTGACAACAAAGGAACAAGCGAAACAGGGGAGGGAAGAGCACAGGGACTATGGTGATGGTTCAAGGTGATGTGGTAGTATGGGGACACCTGAGGGGAGAAATCAAAAACTGTACAAAAGGGCCTCCCTGGTGGCGCAGCGGTTGAGCGCTGGGTTGCGAAGCTGCCCACGGTCTCTGCAACGCCGGTTCGATCCCCGGCCACCGGGAGAGGGTCCCACATGGCGCGCAGACCTTTCCTACCGCCCGCTGCTCCCCTCAGCAGTGTACTTCGTCACTCTGCCTGTTCTCTCCACTCTGGTCTAGTGAATTCTCTCACCCTCCTGCGCCTCTGACTGTACCCAATGCTTGTATAAATAAATAAATAAATCTTAAAAAAAAAGGAAAAAAAACTGTACAAAAAATAAACAATGTAAGAAAATAAAGTTTAATCAATTTTTTTTAAAAAAAGAGCAATCAAATGGTAGTGAATTAGATCTGGATGGTAGAGATGAGTGAAGAGATTTCAAATATAGATTTGGAGTAGAGTTAGTAGGACTTGTTTAGTGATGAATGGGATGTGGGGGTGAGAGAAATAGAGGAAAAGGATGTGTAGCTTGAGTAACTGTAGAGATGGTGATTCCATTTCAAAAAAAAAAGTAAAGACTAGAAGATAAACAGTTTGGATAGGGGTAGTTGGATGAGGATTCAAGAATTCCTCTTTGGCCTTGTTAAAATTAGCATGCCCCCTAGTTATCCAAGTGACAAAGTCAAGCAGGCAACTGGCTGTATGCACCTGGAGTTCTAGAGATCAGAGCTGGAGAAGAGATTTATGAATCGTTATCACTTAGATATTAAAGTCGCAGAATAGGGGCCTCCCCTCGTGGTGCAGGCGGTTGAGCGCAGCGCTGTGAAGCTGTCCTCAGCGCCGGTTCGATCCTGGCTGGCTGGCGGGGGTCCCACATGGCACCGCAGACCTCTCCTGTCTCGCCCACTGCTCCCCTCAGCAGTGTATTTTGTCAGTCTGCCTGTTTTGTTCCCCACTCTGTCTCTGGTGAATTCTCTCACCCTCCTGCGCATCTGGCCTGTATCCCGATTCTTGTATGAAAAAATAAATAAATCTTTAAAAAATAAATAAATAAAGTCGCAGGATAGGACAAACTCATCTTGGAAGAATGAATACAGAAAAGAGAAGAAGGCCCAATCTGAACCCTGGACAAATTAACATTTAGATATTGAACAAAGAAACGTCCTAGAATTAAGAAGAGTGTGGTTTTTTTTTTTAAAGATTTATTTATTTATGCATACAAGAACTGGGGTACAGTCTAGAGATGTGGGGGGAGGGATGAGAGGATTTACCAGAGACAGAGTGGGGAACAGAACAGGCAGATTGATTGAAGTACCCTGCTGAGGGGAGCAGCAGGCAATACAGGAGAGGTCTGCGGCACCATGTGGGTTTCTTCCTGGCCCGCCGGGGATCAAACTTGTGCTGCAGAGGCTGCGGATTGCTTCATAGTGCGGTGCTGAACCCCTTGCACCACCAGGGAGGCCCCCAAGAAGAGTGTGGTTTTATAGAAATCAAAAAAATAAGTTGTTTCTAGGAAAAAGTGTCTATGACCAATGATGTTAATAGGTCGGGTAAGGTAAGAGAGAAGTGGTCATTAGTTTTAACAGTCTCTGTTGAGTGGCAGAGACAGAAGGCTGAATGACTAGAAACAGACAAAAAACTGTATTGAACGAATCAATGTAGAATGTATAAGTCCAAAGATATTAATTTTTAATATTTTTTAAAGATTTATTTTATTTATGTATACAAGAGCTGGGGTATACACCAGAGGTGCAGGGGGTTGAGAGAATTCACCAGAGACAGAGTGGGGAGCAGAACAGGAGGATTATCTGAAATACACTGCTGAGGAGAGCTGCAGGCGAGACAGGAAAGGTCTGCTGCTCCCTGTTGGTTAGCTCCGTAGTTGGGAATCAAACTCATGCTGCAGTGGCTGCTGATAACTTCACAGTACTGAGACTTAACTCCTTGTGCTACCAGGAGGCCCTTAATTTTTAATATCTTTAACAGAAACTGATATAATGACTCCAAATTTCTAGCATAAATGTGGAAAGACAGCAAAAAGCCAGATAAATCTGGATTGGAAAATATCCTCTGAAACTTACTAGCTATGTGTCTCTAGGCAAGTTTCTTAATTGGGTTAAGTTTCAGTTGCTTTCACTTAGAAAATGGAAATAATAAAAACTGTACCTCATAAGTTTATTGTGAGAAATAAATAAGATACTGCACAATGAGTTGTCATTGTTCATTATTATTATTTTCTTTAGATAATACCACTTTAAAATCACAAGATTTTATTATATTAGACTATTTAAATTGTTTAAATGTGGAAATCTCAAACAGCTTCCCTAATCTTTCTACATGTATGCCTCATCTCTAAAAATGTAAAAAGTAATCTACCACTTACGAGAATCTAATATGCCCATATAAACAGCATAACAGAATTGCTTTATCTTCTACAATCCTCATCAACCTAAGTTATGTTGAGTTTACTTTCTGAAGTCTGCATTGAGAAAAACAATATATTAGATGGATATATATAGTTATAGATACATATGGATATAATATATATAATGTAGAGTTATTATAGATTCCCACATATTAATAACCATAGGTTATATCCATAACCTCTCCGTTACTCATAAGGTCAACAGTATAACTTTAACTTCCTAACACACTTGGGGATTTTAGCCTTCTCATCTTATTGCTACATAAAAATAAAAATTGTTGTCAATTTTATACAAGACATTTAAATATTTAATACACAAAAAATAGTTAACCAAACAACTCAAAACTATGTATCTATTAAATAGATATGAAAAGATATCTTTAAAGATTTAAATAAAACACAAATATTTGTATACTGAAAAATTATGCTAATAGAACACTAGCCATGATGAAAAATACTCACCGTAGTGTCAAAGTATAATCTCCTTGCATTTTTGTTGAGGCATCTCTGACCAAAAAGGTACCATCTGGCATGTCCCGTAATTTGTCATTTACCTCCTCCCTAAAGAACAGAATTATAGAAAAATGGAAATAAAGAAGTGTCCATTGTTCTTTTCACACATTGTGAGTAAAGCTACTTGGGAGATGAGTAATATCTAAGGTTATAGAATCATGGGAGCCTGCAGAAGTCATATAGTTTCTACCCTAGGTATGTTTTTTTCTGTTTTGATAATGCATTCTAAGGAAGAAGTAATTGCTTTTCAAATTTCTAGATTTCAACTATATGCATTTTAAGGAATATAATGCATTCTAAGGAAGTATAATGCATTCTAAGGAAAAACTATTTGCTTTTCAAACTTCTAGATTTCAACTATCTATATGGGATAGTGCTCCTATTAAACTTTAGGGCATCCATAGGCAAATGTGAGTTTATAGTTTCAGGAAAAACTAGCAATTGTTTAGAAAGAAGGTTAAATTTAAGCAACAGTGGCAACTATGCCTGAGTAGAGAGGTAAAAATTTACTAAGTTTATAACCTTTCAATACAATGTTCTCTTAATTTGAATTTATACTGCTGACAAATTCCTTCTGCAGAGTTGGCTTAGGACTTTAAGTAAAAACAACACAACACTCAAAGGAAATGTCAGGACATAAAAGATGTTGGAATTAAAGATATCTTAAACTATAAATTAGATGGTATTTAAATATAATAGATAATCTTATCACACAATGCTAAAATATATTTTTCTGATCAATTTTAATATATTATCATCTTAAAAGATTAAACACAGAATTATCATAAATTAATAATGCTACTTCTGGGTACATACCCAAAAAAAGTGGAAGCAGGGACTCAGACAAATGTTTATATAGCAATGTTCATAACAGCATTATTCACAATAGCCAAATTCTGAAAACAATCCAATGTTCATCAAAGTCAAATGTCCAGATGAATAAATAAATTTAAATTGTGTGTGTGTATATATATGTATATATACTCCATTATATATGTATATATACTCCATTATATATATTATACATATAATATATATAATGGAGTATTATTTAGCCTTAAATAGGAAAGACATTTTGACACATGCTGCAACATGGATAAACCCTGAAGACATTATGCTAAGTGAAATAAGCCATCGCAAAAGGGAAAATACTGTTATGATTTTACTTATATGAGAGTTGTCAAATGCATAGAAATATAAAGTAGAATGGAGGTTGCCAGAAACTGGGAGAATATGAGGAAAGGGGATTTAGTGGATTAATGAATATTTAATGAGTACAGCTTCACTTTGGGAAGATGAAATAGTTCAGAGATGGCTAGCAGTATTATCTAAGTAACAAGGGGGAATATACTTTCTGCAATTGAACTGTATATACATTTAAAGATGGTTAAAATGATAAGAAAAAAAGGAAGTGCCAATTTGGTAATGGAGGAGAACAGACAAGAAAAAAGGAAGAACAAACATATTGAATATATCATCAATATCATCAACCTGGAATCTGAGCTGGCAGAAATAGATAGTCTTATAGGAACAAGAAAGCACAATATTAAAATTAAATATGTGTGTGTATCTCCTTCCCTAGATTCAAATTTTTCCAAAACCACATTTTACCCAAAAAAGCTATATGGCATAGAGTCCAGTTTCTCAAAATGATGTATGCGAAGGGTGCATCAAAATTGCCAAGGGATGTTGTTTAATAGATTCCTAGGTCCTACTCCAATTGATTATTGTGCATGCAAAAATTGTGGAACCATTATCTTAGAGAAGGGTAAGGAAAATTAAGTACCTATAATCTATCCTAAAACACATGTAACTATACTAAATGTTTACATTTCATTTATTCAGAAATTTATCCTCAGTATAGTATTAAAAGTCGTAGCCACTTCAAATCTTAATTTGAAGATTTCCTTTGTGGGAAGAAAAGCATTTAGAAACTTTTAGAATGTTCTCATATATTTTTATAATGGTAATCCTTAATGACAATTAGTGGGGCATTAAAATATTTTAACTACTAATTCTCAAAATATTTTAAAATATATATTCAATTATAGTAACATTCTAGTTACCTTGAAATATCCCCCCAATACCATTCTGCATCCTGAAGAGAAACAGAACTGTCCTTCATCCCATTTGTAATGGCTGGAGTCATTGGCTTAGGTGGCTTTGGTGGAAGAGCTAGAAAAGAAATTAGTATTATTTTATAGATGTAAATTATTTGTTTTCTAATTTCCTCAGTGAGGAACAGCTCATTAATCAATGTATATTAAGATTCAAATAATTATAAGTCAAATTGTTATTTTATGATAAATGTTAAACATCACACAAATGACCCCTTTTTGGAACTCTACCAACAACTGCCTGAAAAGTAAAAATTTCAAGTCATTTAAGCTTTTTTCCTTCTTATAAAATACTGATTTTTAATTCTGAAAAAATGTCTAAGAAAACTTCATTGTCTCTCAAAAGACAAGGTTAAGGCCACTCACAAACATTTTAGTCCAAAATCATTAAGAGGTCAGTATAGGTATGATAGCCAAGAGTTGGTGTCAGAACCCAAAGCAGATAAGGAAACACTATGACCATAGAGGAGGCAGCAGCTTGAGTAGGGTGAGGAGGGGATTCTCATGGGGACAGCCAGGCATGGGGTGCTGAACCTAAGTAATAAGGGCTGTATAAGTAATATCACAGAGTAATGGATTCCAAGCCAATAAGGACACAGTCCTCAATGTGAGCACCCCAATGCAGTGGGCAAAACCAGTAAGGGTGAAAACTGTTTCAACTTGGGCAGGAGATGGAAGGTGACAGGGGAAATGCAGTAATTAGCTGTAAGAAAGTACAGACATGAGTCAAACAAGTAACTACTATTAAAGATATTGAGGGCTAGTTTCTCATAGTCTAAAATGGAAGTTACAAACATGGAAAAGTTTCTTTTTGCTGATGCTATTCTGCTGCCATCAGGCTCTGTCCTGTCATCTCTTTGAGACCGAAATTGTAGAATGGTGATTCGGGAGTGATATTTGAGGTTGATATGGAGATTCCCAAGCAATCTATGACTATCAAGACCATACTAGAAGATTTGGAAATGTATGATGACAGAGATGATGACCCAAGACCATACTGGAAGATGTAGAAATGTATGATGAAGGAGATCATGATCCAGATGTTAATGAAGTTTTTTTACTAAGTTCACTCAATGGGACACCCACTATAAGGATGACCCTCATCCTGAGGATGAGTACAAAGAAAAGTAAATAGATGACCACCCCGCTTTACCAAGGAACACTTTTAAACTAATTCTGGCTACAAAATACTCAGACACCAAAGACTTGCTTGATGTTTCATACAAGATTATTGCCACTATCATCAAGGGGAAAACTGAGGAAATTTCTAAGACCTTCAATATAAAAATCACTTCACTGAGTAAGAGGTAGCCCAGGTACACAAAGAGAACCAGTAGTGTAAAGAGAAGTGAAATTCTGTGTCTGACTGTAAAACTATAAAGATTGATCTAAATACTAGTTGCACTGCTCTATAATTATTAATGTTAACACAAATACAGCAGCAAATCAATTATATCAGCAATTCATTCCATGTGTTTGAAATTAGATTCCAGACCTATGACTTGAGTTTCTTCTAGTACGATCAAAAGTTTGTTTTTTCTTTGTTTTCAATAAAAATGAACTACAGGTTCTCTAAAGAAAGTGACATTTTAGTTTTTTCCTGGTTTTGTAAAGGAGTTCTGCCTCGTTTATTGTTCAGTTAACTTTAATGGCCTTTTAAAAGTTACCGTTGTAAATAAAAGCAACTTTCAAAAAGTTTTCTAAAATAAAAAATATATATGGAAAATAAGTGAAAAGAATGAACCATCTGGTTTGGACTGAATTGCAGCTATTGATGTGAACTAAAACATTTCAATAAGTAGACAGATGTAAATGTACATATAAGAAATACAATTATTCCCTATCTCTGTGCCCTGAAAGGTCCTGGCATCTGCAGTACCACAATATGCACACCTAGGACCAAAGTCTTGGTTCTAATGTGATTCTCTATTAAAAGAAATGAAGGCTCTTTGGAGAAATGGTTGATTCCAGAGAAGTACCAAATTGACCTGGAACTGATGTTGTGCCAAATAGTGAGCGCTCCAAGAATGAGGGGCTATGACAAACGAACAATGAAGCTAAAGGGGCTCCCGCTACCAAATCAGGAACAATCAGAGCATTAATATAATAATAGTATGGAAATATAAGTCATTAAACAAAATAGAAATCCCTGTGTTTGTGCAGATAAAAATAACTTAATGAAAAACTGAAAGATTAATGAGAAAGAGAACTTATATAATCTCAAAGGGCCTTCCCACAAAGTGCTTATTAATCACAAAAGCAAAAAGACTAATATAAGCCTAGCAAATGCCATCTTAATCAAGTAATCAAGGTTAATACTACTAATAATGGTGAAATCATGGGCCCCCAATAGGATGCATGAAGAAGGGCATAACAACACTTCTGATACTCATAACAAATACTCCCAAATAGAATCCAATCATTAGGAAATACCAGACAAAGTAAGACTGAGAGACAGCCTACAAATAACTTGTGCGATCTTCAATAATGTCAAGTGAAAGACTAAGGAACTCTTGCAGACTGAAGACTAGAGAGTCATGACAATTAAGTGCAATGTGTGTTTCTGGATTGGATTCTTTTGTTATACAGGACATCACTGAGACAATAAATAAAACTTGAATGGGATCTGAGGATGAGATAGTAGTAATGCATCAATGTTAATTTTCTGATCTTGATGACTATATTGTGGCTATATTGGAGAATGTTCTTGTTTGTGAGAAATAAACGCACATGTTTTAACATAGGCATCATGCTGACAACTTACTCTCAATGGTTCAAAAAAATCTATACTTGCAACTTTTCTGTAAGTACTGTATTTGTACTGTACTTATAACTTTTCTGTAAGTTTGACATTGTTTCCATTTAATAAAAATTAACAACAACAAAAATCAGAGACAACCCTGACAGAAAAGGGAAACAATGTATGTTTCTTAAAACAGAAAGTATTTCCAGTCAAATAATGTTCAACAGGGCATCAAGATAATAAGTGGTGAAAGAACAGTCTTTTTAATAAATGATGCTGGACCAACTGGTTATCTACATGTAAAAGAATGTATCTGGTTAGAACCAGATACATTCTGAAAGAGTTAGAAAGGGTTCTAACACCATATGCAAAAATTAACTCAAAATGGATCAAAGACTTAAAAGAGCTAAAATTATAAAACTTCTAGAAGAAAACACAATTATACCTTCATGACCCTGGATTAGGCAATGGTTTCTTAAGATATGACACCAAAAGCATGAACTATGAAAGAAAATAAATTGAACTTCAGGGCCTCCCTGGTGGCGCAAGGGGTTAAGTCTCAGCACTAGGAAGCTACTGGCAGCCACTGCAGCATGAGGAGCTAACCCACATGGCGCAGCAGACCTCTCCTGTCTCGCCCGCTGCTTTCCTCAGCAGTGTATTTCAGACAATTCTCCAGTTCTGCTCCCCACTCTGTCTCTGATGAATCCTCTCTCTCACACACACCCCAGCACCTCTGGTATACACCCTAGCTCTCGTATGCAAAAATAAATTGAACTTCATCAATTTTTTTAAAAAATTTGTGCTTCCAAGGATACCATCAAGAATGTGAAAAGACAACTCACAGCATGGTAGAAAGTCTTTGTAAATCACATATCTGATTTTTTTTTAAATCTATAATACAGGGCCTCTATAATACAGGGCCTCCCTGGTGGCTCAAGCAGTTAAGCAACGTGTGCGCTATGAAGCGATCCGCAGCCTCTGCAGCAGGAGTTCACTCCCCAGCCGGCCAGGGAGCAACCCATGTGGTGCAGCAGACCTCTCCTGTCTCACCCGCTGCTCCCCTCAGCAGTGTATTTCAGTCAGTCTGCCTGTTCTGTTCTCCACTCTGTCTCTGGTGAATCCTCTCACCCCCGCATCTCTGGCCTGGACCCCAACTCTTGTATACGTAAATAAATAAATCTTTTTTTAACAAAATCTAAAATACACAAAAACCTCTTAAATTTAAAAAGATAAATGACCAAACTGAAAATGGGCAGAAGATCTGAGTAGACATTAGACATTTCTCCAAAGATTATACAAATGGCAAATAAAGACATGAAAGATAGATACTCAATGTCATCAGTCATCAGGGAAATGAAAATCAAAACCACAATGAAACACCATTTTACGCATTAGGTTGACTATAATCAGAAAATAACAAGTGTTGGTGAGGATGTGGAGAAACTGAAACTCATATATTGCTAGTAGTACTGTAAAATGATGTAACTGCTTGGAAAGCAGTCTGACAGTTCTTCAAAAGGTTAAACAGAGTCACAACCCAGCAATTCAATCCTAGCTATCTACTCAAAGGAATGAAACATACATCCACATAAAAACTTATAAATGAATGTCCATAGCAGTATCATTTATAATATCCAAAAAATGGGGAAAGAACAAATGTTCATCAAAAGAGGAATGAATAAATAAAATGTGGGATATGTCCATCTAATGGAGTATTATTCATCAGTAAAATTAAATATTCTATAACATGGGTGAACCAAGAAAACACTAAGCTAAGTGAAAGAAACCAATCACAAAATACATTATTATATGATTCCATTGTCCAGAATAGGCAAATCTTTAGGGACAGAGAGTAGATTAATGGACGTCCAGGGCTGAGGCTTATAGGGAAAAAGGGAGTGGCAATTAATGTGTGCAAGGTTTATTTTTTGGATAATGAAATGTTCCAAAGTTGCTTGTAGTGACAGTTGCACAATGCTATGAATACACTAAAAACTACCAAATCACATATTTTAAGTGGGTGAATTGTGTGATATGTGAATTATACCATAATTTATTGTTTACAAAAAATATACTGAACTTCTGAAATTATTACATAAGGGGAGAGTTTTTTATAATTCATACCCTTTTTCTAAATGGTTATTTATTTATACCTATCTTGTTTGAAAAGGATTTGATGTGGCTTATGAAAGTAGCTACAGTTGGAAGTGTAATTTTGCAAAATTTAAAATGGTCCTACTTATCCACATACACGGATTAACAGTTTAAACTTGTGCTACACAAAGCACTGTGCTATAGCTATAAAAGATACAAAGATATTCCCACCACTCAAAAGAACAAATCTACAGGGAATGACTCATTGAAACACCTAACCATAATATTCAACAAAATTATCTTTTATAAAGATAAAAGCAAAGTGTAACGGAAACTCAGCAAAGCAACAATTGATCCTCTCCTGGGGAAACTTCAAGTTCAAACATGAAGCGTCTCAAACCCAGTCCTCACGGATTGAAGTGCTATGACCAACAAGGCCTCCAAAGAACCTCCTTGGAAAAGCAGGTGAGTTACACCCTAATCACCAAAGGGAGTCACAGTCTTGCTATTGTCTGCATCCCTTCCCTGGAGGAGCCCTATACTGAACTGAGTTGACCAGGCCACATGTAGAAGCTACTATTTATGGATAATGATAGTTCACTGATTACTCTACCACCAACAAACATATAATGACCATTTCACATCTATTACAGAGGGTTGCCCACAGCCTCCATGTATCCTGCCTTTCTTATCTGCAGAAATATAAGAATAAAGTGATTACAAAGAAGTTCCTACATAAAGTTGCTAAAGAATAAAATGAACTATACAATCTGAAATTAATGTAATATACCTGTTTCTATATTTTTGTCTATCATTTAATGCATATATTAAATATTTACTCCTGTGTCCTAGAAACTAGAAATATAGCAGTGAACTAGATCAATATAATCCCTATACTTAAGAACTTCATAGTCCAAAAGGATAAATTTAAAGATAATTCATTATTCCTAAAATCATGGGAATATTCAAATTTAGGTCTACCAAACCAACACTGTGTTCAAACTAAATGTTTTGCTTTCTTTGGTAACTGCTCTCCACCCCCATGTAAATCACAGAACTTAGTTAGCAAAGGTAAATAAAAATTTTTTTTTAACTTTTTTTTTTTTATAAAGATTTTTTATTTATTTATTTATTTGTACAAGCACTGGGTACAGTCAGAAGCGCGGGAGGGTGAGAGAATTCACCAGAGCCAGAGCGGGGAGCAGAGCAGGCAGAAGGACTGAAGTACACTGCTGAGGGGAGCAGCGGGCGGCAGGAGAGGTCTGCACGCCATGTGGGACCCTCCTCCGGTGGCCGGGGAGCAGCCGGGGATCGAACTGGCGCCGCAGAGGCCGCGGGCAGCTTCGCAACCCAGCGCTCAACCGCTGCGCCACCGGGGGGGCCCTAAAGGTAAATAAAAATTTATCTTAACCTTCTAGTTACATGGAGAGAAGCAGATTTCTATCTATGTCATTTTCAAATTATATCATAAATAAAGGTAAAAAAATTCCTAATCACATGAATTTTAAATAAGTTAAGTAGAACACATTGAGAGAGAAAAGCTAATTAAGATATGTTAGTCAGGGCTTCCCCCGTGGCTGGCGCAGTGGTTGAGGGCTGGGCTGCGGGTCCCACATGGCATGCAGACATCTCCTGCTGCGCCTGCTGCTCCCCTCAGCAATGTACTTCATCAGTCTGCCTGTTCTGCTCCCCACTCTGGCTCTGGTGAATTCTCTCACCCTCCTGCGCTTCTGACTGTACCCAGTGCTTGTATAAATAAATAAATCTTTAAAAAAAAAAAAAAGATGTTAGTCATCTCATAACTCCTTGATAAAGAAATTATTAAAGTAATTAAAGCTTTTAAAATCAGTTTTAAAATGTAGATATATGAACATACATATATATGTATGTGTGTGACTGTGCACATGTGAGTATATATATATTCGGTATATGTATATATGCATAAAGACACATGGAAGAATATCAAACTGTTAACAGGGTATATAACAGTGATGGGGGCAGCAGCACAGAAGCGTACTTTCTTTACCTATGTTTGTTATGTTTTATTTCACTTTTTATTTTATTTTTTTGGAGAACAGTGTATTTGTTGAAATACACCACTGAGAGGAGCAGTAGGTGCCATGGGAGAGGTCGTCTGCTATGTTTGTATGTTTTAATAACAACAGAAACAAAAACAATGGAATATGAGTAATTTTTCACTTGAATTTAGTTTCCTTTTTCAAGAATCTTTTCAAAATTCACTTTTATATTCTTTAAAGAAGTATTCAGAGGGGCTACAGCATTGTAAACATTATTTCTTTGGTCATAATCTACATATCTATATAATCTAGAGAGTACTGTAACAAAGTTAAATGTACTGAAGTTGATAACTGTAGTGCACTGTGGTATGTAAAGGAATATTCCTATTCTAAAGAAATACATATTAAGGTATTTAGTAATTAAGGGTCAGAATGACTGTAACTTACCCTTCATTCAGAAACAAGCATTTTTTTTTTATATTAAGAGCATGAGTAAGTATGAATGGAGTAAAATGTTAACAGGTGAACCTGAGTAAAGGATATATACATGTTCTTTGTATTCTTACTTTTACAACTTTTCTGCTAGTTTAACATTTTTCCCAAATGTTTGACAATTTTTATAATTAAGAATAAAGAGTTAAGTACTTTAAAAAGCCAGGGATCAGGGCCTCCCCGGTGGCGCAGCGGTTGAGCGCTGGGTTGCGAGGCTGCCCGCGGCCTCTGCGGCGCCGGTTCGATCCCCGGCTGCTCCCCGGCCACCGGAGGAGGGTCCCACATGGCGCGCAGGCCTCTCCTGCCGCCCGCTGCTCCCCTCAGCAGTGTACTTCGGTCCTTCTGCCTGCTCTGCTCCCCGCTCTGGCTCTGGTGAATTCTCTCACCCTCCCGCGCTTCTGACTGTACCCAGTGCATGTATAAACAAAACAAACAAACAAACAAATAAATAAAACATGCCTCTATAAAAAAAAAAATTTAAAAAAAAAAAAAAAGCCAGGGATCAGTGGCAGATCTCAGTCCTCATAGTCTATGCCAGGATTTGACTTTATGAAGGATGACTTTACATTACAAATGGAAGGAAAAAAAAAAGCTAAAATAATATTTGTATGTCTCCAGTCTGTGCTGGTGGAAAAAGAGGCACCTCTAGTTATATAAGCAAAGTCAGAGGCCTTCAAACCTTTAGATTCCAAGTACCATAAGACTAAGAGTCTCTTTCTCTTATTCTGTCTGAAACCCTGACCAAAAGACTTTCCTAACTCAAACATAGTATACAGTCCTGGTATAGAGTATAGATTAAATAAATAAGTTCATTCAGCAGATACTAAATGAGAACCTACTTATTGTAGGCCTTTGTTTCTTCTACCCATAAAATTAGGCTAAAGTAGTATCTACATCATATGAAAATTAAATGAGTTAATGTGTAAACTTAAAATAGCAACTAATACACAGCAATCAACAAATATTAGCTGTTAGCTATAGATGGAAGGGTAGATGCCAAAGACAGTAATAAAGCAAACAATGAGCAATTCAAATAAGTAAAACATACAGTTATTACACTGGGATTAAATGGTCAGTTTTCCTAAAGATACAATGTGCACTTGAAAAGATTATGTATTATGAATTTGTTGAATACAGTCTTTTTATTTTTTTTTTAAGATTTATTTATTTATACAAGCACTGGGTACAGTCAGAAGCACGGGATGGTGAGAGAATTCACCAGAGCCAGAGCAGGGAACAGAACAGGCAGACTGACGAAATACACTGCTGAGGGGAGCAGCGGGCATGGCAAGAGAGGTCTGCGTGCCATGTGGGACCCTTGCTGGCAGCCAGGGATCGAACCAGCGCTGCAGAGGCTGCAGGCAGCTTCACAGCCCAACACTCAACCATTGCGCCACCAGGTGAGGTCCTGAATACAGTCTTTTTAAAATATCAATTATGTCAAGAGATTAGGTAAAATTTAATAATCAATTATTTAGCTCTTTTATTTTCAAATTAAATTTTGTCTGCTTATTCTTTTTTTTTCCATTTTACCCCATTTGTTTATTTTTAATATAAAATAAACAAATTTATTATTTTATTTTATATAATAAAATATATTTTATTTTATATAATTCTTACATTTTTCATTTTATATAATTTTATATAATTCTCACATCATTTTTCTTTTTTGCATAATGTATGCATTTTCATTTTGGTTATATTCCCCATACAATTCCCACCCCCCGTATTCTGACCCTAATCCCTCTTCTCCTCCCCTCACCCCCCACTGTAGTGTGTCTCTGGTCAATAGTTGCTTGTTGATTATGATTTTTACTTTATTGCAATTAGTCTTTTTCCTTGTCCCTTATTTAGGTTCTCTAAATTCCTGCTATGAGTGAGACCATCCAGTATTTTTCTTTTTCTTTCTGGCTTATTTCACTGAGCATGATCCCTTCCAGCTCCATCCGTGTTGCTGCAAATGGCATGAGTTATCTTTTTTGATTGCTGAGTAATATTCCACTGTGTGTATATACCACATCTTCTTGATCCAGTCATCTATTTTTGGGCATTTGGGTTGCTTCCATAGCTTAGCTATTGTAAATAGTGCTGCTATAAACATAGGGGTGCAGGTGCCCTTTTGAATTAATGTTTCTGTGTCTTTTGGGTAAATACTTAGGAGTGGAGTTGCTGGATCATATGCAAGCTCTATGTTTAGTAGGTTCAGAAATCTCCACACAGCTCTCCATAGTGGTTGGACCAGTTTGCACTCCCACCAACAGTGCAGAAGAGTTCCTTTTTCTCCACATCCTCGCCAACATTTGTTGTTGCTAGTTTTTTTAATATGTGCCATTCTCACTGGTGTAAGATGGTATCTCATGGTAGTTTTGATTTGCATTTCCCTCATTACAAGTGATGATGAACATTTTTTCATATGCCTGTTTGCCATTTGCATTTCCTCTTTGGAGAAGTTTCTTTTTAGCTCTTCTGCCCATTTTTTGACTGGGTTATTTTCTTTCTTTTTGGTGAGTCTCATCAGCTCTTTGTAGATTTTTGTGATCAGTCCTTTATCATTAGTGGTGTGTGCAAAAATTTTCTCCCAGTCGGTGGGCTAACCTAGCTTTTATTAACTATTGCTAAAAAACCAAGTATCAAGGAAAAAATTCCCAGAACATATATTTGTAAATAACCAGAAATCATACACGGCTTTAAAGTACAAAAATAAAAGTAAATTTTATTAAAATACATTTCCTAAATTCAAAAATCTATTTTGTTTTAGAGGAATAAAAATATCGAGAATTAGAACTAGCCTAGATATTATGCTATAATGTTAGATGTAGAAAAATATTTAGAAATAAATGACTGATTGATTAGGCTATCCAGAGGGGGAAAAAAAGTGGAAAGCAGAACAGGCAGATCTACTGAAATGCACTGCTAAGGGGAGCAGCAGGCGAGACAGGAGAGGTCTGCTGCCTGGGTTGGCTCCCTGTCTGG